ATAGTATTATGAGTTGAATTCCAAGCGACTGGTACCTTTCATTTAGTATTGAACAAATACACTATTACTAGAGTTGATTGTTATTACAGAGAATGTGTGCCGAGGTTATGCAGAACAAAGGGCTCGTCCTGCCCACGGAAGTGCTCGAGATGGTGCTGGCACAGTTGCCACTTACCGATCTCTTGACTATTGATGTAACTGTTTGCCGTTACTGGTATGATGTCATCCGCAACCCTGCTGTGAGTTCTACAAGAATTGCTTCCAACACCTTGCACATACAGTGGTGTACTTGCATCCCTTCTATCTTCAAATTCTATTTCTTAATTTCCATTATTACTCTCAAGTGTCATGAATGATTTTATTTCTGGGAGGGTTTCTTCAGTGGCCCCCTGTTGCTAGTCACCTAGATAACTCTACACATCATATCACACCAGTCTCTTGCAAATCACTAAAAATCTGCCAGAAACCAGAGGCAAAACCTAAATCACCCAGTCATGAAGAGAGCAGAGGATGATATATCATCCTGAGAAATATGCCATCAGAAAGGTAGAGCAAAACAAAATGGACAAGAGCAAAAAAAATTTAAGCAGCTCTAAAAACAAGACACAATAGTTAAATTGTTCACCAGGTAATAATATCTTCCCACCACCAGGTGGTAGTACTGAGAGCTCTTGGATTGCTGGGCATAACTTTCCAGTAATTCGCCTGGTGTGGACCAGTCCATAAGTGCTCTTTGTGTTATCTTTGCCCTTTGGGTCCAGGTTTTACTAGATAAGTGTTGGACTCCATATTGCAGGAGCCATTTCCTAGCGTTTGTTCCCATTCTTGTGTTGGCTGCACAGTTGTGTATTTTCTTGTCACGCTTGTGTGAACCGGAGTAACTTTTCGCCTCGAGTTATGGGCTTAGGGTTTGCTTTCCCTAGGTATTCACTCTGCACAGCAAGGATTTGCTTCCCAAGGTACTCTGCACATCAAGGGTATTCTTCCCTGATGGTTTCTAGTCTGTCTCTGGGAAGTCATCCTCTGGTAGAGGTTGCTTTGCCATCTCTGGGTTAGGTTTTGGTTTTCCTTTTGTCTGCAAGGCCAAGGCTCTTGGTCATACTTTTGTTGGTTCTCACATCCAGATGTAGGGTCAGGAAGCTTCAAGCTTTACTTCAGAAGTGGGGGTCTTGTTTCAAGGCTTTGGCCTTGAAACAAAACTTGGTGGGCAAGGAAATTGCCCACCAAGGCCAATGCCTTGGTGGGCAGTTTCTTTATCCTTTATCTGTGGCAGTCTCCTTTTCTGGTTTAATATGAGGCAGCTGGTTTCTGCAGGAGTCCCATAGTTGTTGACTCTTGGTTTATTTGGCCAGGGGTGCATAATTTGATGTGCCAGGGCCCAGGTTACTGCAGCCGACTGTTGTTTACCACTCGAGAAGTTCTGGGCGATGCATTGTTTGTAGACTGTGTTCTTGGCTTTTTGTTCCAAGGCTCATTTGTCTCTTTGATGCTCATACATTCAAACCAATGTCTACTGTATTCTCTAATGTCTTGAGTTGCTATTCAGGCTTGCAGATTTTGGTGTTCTGGCCTTGTAGCACATTGGGTAGGGTTACCTGGCACTGAATATTACTTTGTTGGGTGTTACTGGATTTTGCTGTCCTCCATTCCTGGTAAGGTCCCCTCTTTTGTTTGCTCTGTATGGTGAGATAGCAACAGGGAGCCATTTATGGAATGCTTCCAGGAAACCAGTGTTAAATGTAATGAATTGCCTCTTTCTGGTAGGTTCTTGGTGGCTCCCTGGACCCCTCCCTTCCTCTCTTTTTCAGGTGCGTCGGTTTTCTCTCTGATTGTCTTGTGACTGAGGAGTTACACCAGGTTGTCTGGGAGTAACTCCTGGCAGTTATCAAAGTGTAATTACCTAAGTGTAGTTACAGGATGAGAGCTACTCTCGTGGTGTCCCGTCTTCCCAGCACACTTTGTTATACAGTATACTGCTTTGTAACTACTATACTGGCAGTTTTGGCCTTTATCACCTTCTCAATTGTTCCAATCGTTTACCACTGTTTGCGAAATTGAATTTTCTAATATTTTTTTGCAGCTTTGTTTACTTAGCTTAAATCTATAGCCACTTTATTCTTGAAGTTTGAGGTTACAAGAATTCTTCTTTATCAGTTTTGTCGATTCCCGCTACTATTTTATACATAGTGAACATATCGCCTCTATTTTTCTTTTATCTTCTAGCTTTGGCATATTTAATGTCTAACCTCTCCTTCTAGCTCTTGTTTTTCAGTTCCGGAAGCCAGTTAGTTACATGTGTTTGCGTCTTTTCTAGTTTGTTGATATGCTACTTAAGATTTGGGCACCATACAACCACTGCATATTCCAGCTTTGGTCTCACAAAGGCCCTGAACAATTTCTTAAGTGTAGCATAGGCTCGCACAATGTTCTTTGTGGTCCTCGGGTGATAATTTTCTATCTAAATCCACCTAGAGAATCAGAATTCTCTAAAACGCTTTCACATAATTTGTAGGTTGTGTGAGGGCTATTTTCACCTATTCCACATTCTATAACATGGCAGTTATTCATATAAATTCCATTTGCCAAGTGTTGCTCTATACTCTTTCATCAAATCTTCTTGAAGGGCATGACAATTGTCTAGGTTTCTTATCCTCCCTAGTATCTTAGCATCATCAAACATATTCATATAATTCTGTATTCCTTCTGGTAGATAGTTTATATATAAACAATGGACATTATTGGGGCAAGAACTGAATCTTATGGTAATCCACTAGGGATACATCTCCAGTCTGATATATTACCTCTGATTACTGCCCTCATTTTTCTGTCAGAAAATTTTTCATCCATGTTAGAAGCCTTCCTGTCACTCCTCCAGTATGTTCCAGTTTCAAGAACAAGCTATGTGGGAATCTGTCAAAAGCCTTTTTAGATTTAGATAAATGAAGTCAACCCAACAATCTCTTGCCTGTAAAATCTCTGTCGCTTTGTCATAAAAACTAAGATTTGTTACACAGGATCGTCCTGATTGAAAACTATACTGTCTGTTATGGTTTTCGATCAGGAAGGTTGAAAATTCTGTCTCCCTCCATACTATCAATTTTCTCCAGGTGTTTTACTCCATTTGGTTTTAATTAATTTGTCCAATATTTTTACTACTATACTTGTCGTTGATACAGGTGTATAATTAAGAGAGTGTATCCTGCTGCCAATTTTGTAGATTGAAACTATGTTAGCCTTTTTGCATATCTGCCAAGACTCAAGTACATAAAGATGACTGAAAAATCAGTTGAAGTGAAATGCTGAGCTCGGGTGTGCATTCATTCAGAACCCAAGATGACGCTCCATCTGGGCCAACTGCTTTGTTCTTACTTAGCTCCTTGAGCATTTTTTCCATTTTATCTGTAGACACCTCTATGTGCTCTGTTGTTATCTGGAATTTTTATTGTGTCTGGTTCACTGAAAATTGTATATTTCACACTTTGGAACTGTAAGTTTAGTGTTTCACACTTTTGCTTTTCATTCTCCTTGAATCTGTTTCCAATTTTCAACCTCTTAAAAGTTTTATTCGTTACCTGCAATTTGCTTTAATGAATTTATAGAATAGACCTGGTTCTATTTTACATTTGTCCACTATCCTTTTATCAAAATTTCTTTCTGCCTCTCTTCTCACTGCCATGTAGTTCTTTCTTGCTTGTTAGTATTACCGGTATGTTTAATGGCTTGTTTGGCAAGGCCATTGTTCTACCTAGGTAACTAGCAACAGGGGGGTCACTGAGGACTCTCCAGAAAGAGGCACTTCATTACATTCAACTCTGGCTTTTGCAATTGTTCAGAGATCTAACAGGAATATGCAGTTCTGTACAGTATTTAAAATTTTGATTTATATTCATAATTCAAAAGTTAAATTTTAAAGCTTTATCATTTATTATCTAGTTTAACATTATTTGATTAAAACAAAGTAATAAATTGGAACAGTATTGGAGACTTGCTTTATAGTCTCGGCAAGTAAATTTATACTGTTTTTAGCATTTGCTTTTCTTAAAATAATTATACTGTGTATACTATATTGTAAGTAAATTTGTGCAAATTTTTTTCAGTTTATTCCGTGGAAAAAAGTGTACCACCGACTAAAACTGGCACCAGCGAGCGAAGCGTCTGCTTTCTTGCTCTCCCCGTCCAGAGTGGATGACAAGTTGCCAGTTACTGATATCATATCTGCACTCTGTCAACATCATGGCTGTACTTCTTTAAGAGACTGCCTCATCAGTGTTGTCAGGTAAATAAACATCTTCTCTTCAATGACCATTTGTTTTGTATTGTGGATGATTATAGATTAGTTTATTTTCTGCCATAGAAGTGGTCATTCTTCAACTGTGCTACATAACATGCACAATGTTTGCAAATTGTGCGTTTGGGAAACAGTTTAGTATGCACATTGCAGTTTATTTTTAGGTCTCTGTATTTATGATCATGGGAAAATTTTTACAAGTTTGCAGGTTGATAAACATTGTTAGGTATTTCCTTTATGATGTAGGTAGGCTGCAGTAATTAGAGCAGCATTTCCCTTGTTTATCTAAGTGGGTTCATTCATCTGTGTTTCATTAACACATTGCTGGACACTCATGATTCCTCGCGCTCTTCCTGTGTTAATCTACTTTCTAAAATAAGTTTTTGAATTTTAGTATATATCTAAAATATTATGCAAGTACTCTGAGTTTGGCCCAACAGTATATAAATACAGTATATAAATACTGTTGGTGCTCTCTCGTGTGGGCCATTTACGCCTTAAATAGTTTCTTGTATTCTTATGTTACCAAGATGTGTAAACTTTAAATACAATTACTATTATAATTATAATACCTGTATTTGATAATTAAATTGATGTTGGCCCCAATTAGTTCAGATATTTGTTTTCTGATGTTTAAAGTACTATGCATTCTTTACAGTACTATTTTTCTGTTTATCATACATATTAAATGAACTCACACTCTGTGTACTATACATGTTAGGTATCTTGTTGCTGTACATATAGAACATCATTCTAAATTTAGGTAATAATAATGTAAATGAGAAGAAATGTACAGGATTTAAAGTTTTACTGTACATTTAAGTTCTCAATCTTTCTCCAGTGTATAATCCATTCTTTAAATAATAACACATACAGGATGAAATTCTGTCTTGTATAGTTTTATGCATCTTACAGGCTGATGGGAAACACACAGAGGATACCAACAGGTGATGCGACCAAGTGTGTTCTTGAGAAGCATGAACTTTACTCTGTGGCAATGGATGCACTGGAGAACATGGAGGAAGCCCTTGTTCCAAGACCTTTCAATATTTGGCACGTTACGACCATGATTGTTCTCCGTAGGTGCCGTGATTTTCCAATCACTTGTGACTTTCCCTCTGCCCTCTTGCCTGCAAAGGCTTACTTTAAGGAAATATTTTTCTGGTTATGTATGAATATGGTTATGTATGATAGTTACCCAAAACAAGTATTCAGGATGATGTCTTGAATACCATAGACCCACATTGAATGATTAAACCATCTTGAAGAATACTGAACATGTGCATTAAGACATGCTGCTAAAATCCTTATAATTATAATTTAAACTTTAATTACCTGTGATGAAGTGCTCAGTAACCCACTACACTATGTAGTGTAATAGTTCTTTAACCCTATCCATAGAGACAGACAAAAACATATACATGGCAGTTAATATTGTAGCTGAATAGCGAGGTCTGTGGTAGAATGTCTTTAGGAATGTATTCCTGTGTTAATAGATTCTACAATATTTTTTTGTACAGAATATATTTGCACATTTTGAACATAAGTACTTAGCGTACAACATAAGTATTACACAGAAATATGAATAGAAGAATGTAAGTATCTGAGAGGGAGTGGGCTATTTATATTTATTAGAATACTGTAGTTCAGAAATAGTTTGTCTCAAAAGGATATATGTTTGTAATTATTATTTGTAGTTCTTTTTTGTCATCAAGATTTGCTTGAACACGGAACTGTTGACTTTTTTCTTCATCATCTTGATATAAAGAAAAAATTGATTAGATAATTGTACACTTACAGGCCTCTTTAACAGTCATTCATTTGAATAGTGATTACAAGTCATTGTCTTTTTTAGGCAATCATTATTATTATTATTTTAATATACTAGAGTAATAAATCTTGATTATCTTTAGGCTGATATTGTCTTGCTCAAAAGCATAAGTATCAAAACTACATTCCTTTTTTTTATATAGACGTAATGATATGTAGTTAATTTAGCTATCTTTTACGGATGGTAGTATGGTGCATGGAGGTGTTCATTACCTATATTCTTGAGCCACACTAGTATGGTGTAGAACAAGTGGGCCAGGACTGAAGGCCCGAGGCAGGACAGTAGCACCTGCGTGTGGGCCCATGACTAGCTTGTAGGCTTGCAGAGTTCCAATGTTTTCTTTTTCTGCCTTGTACAGGGCATTACTTTTGTTATCTATAAGTTCTATGCAAAGTTTATTCTTGACATGATGTAAGAGAAGATATATAATATTGTTTTATTTGGTTTTCAGTGTCACATGATGTGTGGCATGTGGATGCCCTTCTTCAGTTGCTGCTTCATCAAGGATCAATGTTTACATCGTGTAATGTTGTTGAAGCATTTTACTGCTTAGCTACATTTTTTTTTTACAGCACACAAAAATTTGAACTCCCAACAAGGTTTGTTAATACAGTTACTTTCAATTTATTTCTGTTGTTTGAGAACACTTATGATTGGAACAATTATAAAGTTTGCAATTTATTGAACTAGATCTTGGTGGAAATATGTTCGAATACTATCATTGCACCAAAAATTCCATCAGTAATATTATCAATAGAGTAACTGGAAAAAGAAGACGGCAAATACTGTAAATAAGCATATAAAAGGAATGAAAGAAACTCCTACTGTGGAAACATTTACATCCACAATTCTTAAGTTTAAATAAAAGTGCATTAGGTGAGGGTTTTAAATTGCTACATAATACAGTTAGCTACTCCCACATTAATTACATGAGTTAGGTTGTCCTCTATGGCTTGAAATGTTGCCTCCATAATATATAATATGGGTGTTCTGTAATGAGAGTAAAATGGATGTAAGTTGTATGGTGTGAAGATTTTGATGACTCAAATGCGGGGTCTCCAACTGACGATGGGGGTACGTTCTTAATTCCTCACCATAAGGGGGATTGGCTAGAGCTTCGAAACACCATTTGTGTATGCACAATACTCTAAATGGGAGGCAAGTTCCCAAAGCACCAAAAACTGGTGTATTTGAAAGAAAAACACAATATAGTATAAGTAATATTGAATAAACTCTGGTTTAATTTAACTTGAATGTTGGAGTTGCCTTCTTACTAGATTTTTTAATTAACCCTTTTACTTTTTTACCCCTTACCAATTTTGGGCACTACCAGTGTCTTGGGGCAAGCACAAACTGCTTAGGGATATTTTATTTGCAATGCATACTGGGAAGTTACTAAGCTTGGTAAAGTGTTCAATTTGCTATCTTTTTAGCAAACTAGATATCTTTAAAGTACAACTAAAGAGTTGTACTTTGATGGCATTTTCAAAAATGCAATAAAAGCAAAGTAAAATAACAAAAAGGCGAGCTAAAGTTAGCCAACATGACATTGAAAATGAAGACTACATTCGTCAGTGGAACGTACTGGCGTTTTGAATAAATGATAATTGTAGGCATCACAACAATGTTAAAGGGTTAATTAGAGGAGGAAGTTAAAGTGGCGCGACCAGCATGTCAGAAATAATAACAGCTGTTTGGTTATTATGGTTGAATTCATTGATGCTGATTCCTTCACATGGTATAAAATTCTAGGCTTGTCTTTAATGCTGGTACTGATTGTTAATGCTTTGCTCTTACACATATCCAAATTGTTCTAATATTTCTCTCTTCAGTGATTTTATTTTTTAATGTCCCAATTTCATTTTGAATTGTTATATAACTCTTCACTTACTTGGTTCTGAAGCACAACAATCCACACTTTTCCTCTTATCAGCCATGATTATGGGTCTGTTTACTAAACAAAAATGCAACAATTAATGCTGGATTCCACACTGCATTTGAGCTGGAGCACAAAACAGCTGACAGGAAACACTGGCAGCCGTTGTAAGTACAGTACAAGTTCTGTTGATATTTAATGGCTATTTTTTTTTTATTAAAATTAATTGCGACAATATATTTCCAAATTTTTATATCAAAGGAGCATTTAAAATTATATGAATTTTATAGTTTTTAGGTACTCTTGTTTAAATACTGTATTACCATTGTAATTTGGCAAAATAGAATTTTGGAACACCTGTTGCTGATAATAGAGGAACAGTGATCATAACTGGGTTGATGGTTTTGTTGAATGGCCGTTTACTGTGTTTGTGTGCATATAGATAAATGTAGAGAATTTGCCACAAAACTTTTGAAAGTAGCACTGTGCCAACCATGGATAAGCAATCTGTCCTCTTAAAAATAACGTTGCTTTCGGCCGTCTGCCCGTATGGCCAAAAGTGGACGTAATTTGGAAATGAAAAAAAAATGAAAATAAATTTGAGATTTTTTTTTCAACAACAGTTAGTTAAGGGTCCTCTGATAGGTTAGGTGGGCAGGAAATTCTCATAAAATTTCAAAATGTTATGAAAAACATTAATTGAAAGTTTCCTCTCGTAACCTTTCCGAGTAAGCCAGACGACTCAAACAGAAAACGGGACAGTATGTCACTTTCGTGAGCCGATTTCATTTCAAGTTATGTCCATTTTTGGCCATAGCGCGCACACGAGCCAAAAGCGACGTTATTTTTAAGACAGGTTGGGATAAGAGGTATAATGTTTTACTATTTTATAATACAGTAGTAAGAATGAAAGTGAGAAGTTTCAGAACTAGAGGAACAGTGTAGTGGACAAAGTGTATGTGCTGGAGTAATGATTGGAAGAATAAAAGAAATTTATTATAATTACATCGTGTGGTGTAGTAGTTAGCACATTTGTCTTGCAAATGAGGACCTGGGTATGAATTTTGGTCAGGATAGGATGATTAGGCATTGTTCTTAAACGTGGTTTGTCCCTGTGCAACTGTGAGGAGCTAGATGTAACACTACTGAATATGCTCGCCACTTGAAGTATCTAGCTGAAAGCATCAATCTAAAACATTAGATCAATTCCCAATTTCGTGGGGTGGGGAGGTAAGATATGAAAGGAAGAGACATTTTACAATTGCCATTTTCTCTTATGCAGTACAGGTGCTACCCTTTTGTCTCAAGGTTAATTCCACCTCATTTACTGTCTCCTTTTACTTTTTCAACAATCAAGTGTACTTGTAATGAAGATATTTAGTGGTTGTACCATTCAAATAGTGAAGGCTGAGTAATTGGAAATTAAAATGTATTTCTAAATAATTATCTTCTCATTATATCTGGCAATGTTATGTGCAAGTAATGTAATTTTCTTGAGTTTTTTTTTTTGCTGTGGGCATCTTGTGGTAGTTTTAAGAATAATTATTTATATTTGTATATATTATAATTATATTGCAGAATATATTTTTATAAACATTTCATAATATTTCTGGAGACGCTTCTTATTGGCTCCCTGAAGCTATTGGACCGATATAGCTTTCTTCCACTGAGTCACATCAGCCATAGGAGTCGTGTCTGGTCTATCTAAGGACAGAACCAGAACCTGGCCTCCTTCAAAGAGGTACAGGGAGCAGTGGTTATTACTATCACCCTCACCCAAAAAAATACATAGAAAGTAAGCGACTTTACAAACAATTTTAAAGTTCGTTTCAAAGCACTGAAACGGCTAAATAACTCTGCAAGTAATTAATTAAGCCTAAAATGATTCACTCAAACTACAGTAGTTTGAACCTCCCAGTGCGAATAACTGCCAATAGGTGGCACACCCTGGGTGCTCCAGGCTCCTGCACCTGCAATGAGTCAGCTCTGTCACTGATTCCAGAGTTGGTGACTGTGGGGAGCCCCACGTTTTTTCAACATAAGTGTAGGCAATTCTTTAACCTCTGTCCTGTTGGGATCATTTGCTTGTTTATTGTTCCTATCCTTTAACATTTGCTAATTTGAGAGGACAGCTAGACATTGTAAGCATAGTGTACAAGATACTGATGGGGATAGACGAGGCAGATAGAGATGGTCTTGAGCTTATAAAGTAAAATTAAACAGTGTCACAGGTGAGAGTTGAAAATATAAATGATTTGGAGACATAAAAGTACTCATTGGCAGTAAGGGTAGTAAGCAAGTAGGAAAGGCTGAGAGAGGAATTGGTGGTATCCACATTTATGCACAAATTGAAGAGCAGGTACATTGAGTACTGTACTATACTGAAGAAATAAATGTATCCCTTCCCCCCCCCTAGTTGGAAAGCAGTACTCCATAAGGGAGAACACTCATTAGGCCCAGTTAGGGGATTATTGTTGCACAGAGGTTGACTTTCACTTGTACACAAACAATGTATTGCTGTATAATAACTCATGTAAGGAGTCTTTATATCAAGGAGCACTTTGACTAATGTGCATCATTTTTTTTTACTTTCCAATACATGTTGTACTTGAGACTTCAGATGAACATGACAGAATGCAGATGTTGTATACACAGACTTTGCAAAGGCATTTGACAAATGTGACCATGGAGTGATTGCACACAAAATGAGGTCAATGGGTATAACTGGTAAAGTAGGACGCTGGATACTCAATTTCCTGTCGAACAGAACACAGAGTAACAGTCAATCAAGTAAAATCGAGTTCGAGCGCAGTTAAAAGCTCTGTAACTCAAGGTACAGTCCTTGCACCACTGCTGTTCCTTATTCTCATATCAAATATAGACAAAAATACAAGTCACAGCTTCGTGTCATCCTTTGCAGATGATACAAAAATCAGCATGAAAATTACCTCTGCTGAAGACATTGAATAACTACAGACAGACATTAACAAAGTTTTCGATTGGGCAGCAGAAAATAACATGATGTTTAACGGTGATAAATTCCAGGTACTCAGATACGGCAAAAATGAGGACCTGAAACATAATACAGGGTACAAAACACAATCGGATCTGCCCATAGTAGGAAAACAGCATGTCAAGGATTTGGGAATAATGATGTCCGATGACCTAACGTTTAGGGAGCATAACCAAGCAAGTATTGCATCAGCCAGAAAAATGATAGGATGGAATACGAGAACCTTCAAGTCCAGAGATCCCATCACAATGGTTGTACTCTTCAAATCACTTGTGTTGTCCCATTTTGAGTACTGCTACTCATGTATATGTACTCACTTCCCCCTTCAGAGCAGGAGAGATTGCTGAAATAGAGGGAATACAGAGAACATATACGGCACGCATAGACGCAAAAAAGCACCTAAATTATTGGGATCGTCTCAAAGCTCTCCAAGTGTACTCACTAGAAAGGAGACGAGAGAGATACCAAATAATATACACATGGAAAATACTAGAGGGACAGGTCCCAAATCTGCACAGTAAAATAACAACGTACTGGAGTGAACGATATGGAAGAAAATGCAGAATAGAACCAGTGAAGAGCAGTGGTGCCATAGGCACAATCAGAGAACACTGTATAAACATCAGAGGTCTGCGGTTGTTCAACATCCTACCAGCGAGCATCAGAAATATTGCCGTAACAACTGTGGACATCTTCAAGAGAAAACTAGATTGTTTTCAGGGAGTGCCGGACCAACCGGGCTGTGCTGGGTATGTGGGCCTGCGGGCCGCTCCAAGCAACGGCCTGGTGGACCAAACTCTCACAAGTCAAGCCTGGCCTCGAGCCGGGCTAGGGGAGTAGAAGAACTCCCAGAACCCCATCAAGCAGGTAACAGGATGATGCTTTTTTTTTTTTTTTTTCTAAGTCAAAATACTAGGAATGGGAAAGAACTTATGTTTCCAGAGCATGTATAGGTGTGAAGTAATGACATAAAATTATTTATTACTGTATTATACTGTACACTATTCTTAATACAAGTGCACATTATTTAATTTTTCTGAATGTAGCTAATTTAGTGTTTTTGTTCAAATACAATTACAGTATAACAAAATATAGACTGGGCTTGGATCAAATAGGGATTTACAGTGAAGTTCCATATTGGACAGGTACCACTATTTGGTGTATTACGCCCTCTACTTGTATGAGAACCGCTGGACAACTAAACCATCTCATGATCCTGGAGACCTGCAGCATGAGCATGTGGGCCAACAGTCCATACACAAGTACATCAATTTAAAGTCATCGGTTCAGCACACTCATGAGCAAATGAGAATTATTAATCACAATATTGAACCCAGTCATGTAAGTAAAGAATCCTTACAACTTATCACCTTTGTTCTGATTATTAAATAATAAATTTTCCTCATAATTTTATCAAGAATTCCTCATAGGGACAGGGAATAGCTGCACACTTCCTTCCCACTTTGTGCTGGTGATGTTACAGATCTTTGTTATGTTCATTTATTATGCAACCCATTATATTATTACCCATCCTGTGAATGGTGGTGGTGGACCTCATACCTGTCATATGAATGGTGGTGGTGGACCCCATACCTGTCCTGTGAATGGTGGTGGTGGACCTCATACCTGTCATATGAATGGTGGTGGTGAACCCCATACCTGTCCTGTGAATGGTGGTGGTGGACCTCATACCTGTCATATGAATGGTGGTGGTGGACCCCATACCTGTCCTGTGAATGGTGGTGGTGGACCTCATACCTGTCATATGAATGGTGGTGGTGGACCCCATACCTGTCCTGTGAATGGTGGTGGTGGACCTCATACCTGTCATATGAATGGTGGTGGTGGACCCCATACCCATCCTGTGAATGGTGGTGGTGGATCCCATACCTGTCATATGAATGGTGGTGGTGGACCCCATACCCATCCTGTGAGGGGTGGGTATGAATTGTGAAAAATTGTGAAAATGTGAAAAATACTCAGAAGTAGAGTAATTACCATAAAGACTGATAGGTAGTTGACCAAGGTGATATATGGATGGCCCCCCCTGATACTTTGGTTTGTATTCTGCCACACTGCTAAAAAATATCCTTTAAATATATAATAAAAGTACAAAAAACACAAAAGGAAGGTGGTGGTAGGAGAAAAGCACACAGAAACTGTATTGGAGGGGACCTAAACATTCCCTCTAATGCGTTGTGTGGTTTCCTCCGAGGCTAAGGGTTCCCTTCTTCCACCCAGAGGTGGTACCTGTACTCCCTTCCTATTAAAAAAAAAAAAAATAATAGTTAAATACTTATTAATAATTAATATTATTTGTATAATTAATAATTATACTATAATTAACAACTATTTACTATTAATAGTAGTAGTAAAGATAATAATAAATGTAGTAAAAAATGTGATTCTTGGGAAGTTTGAGATAATTGATGCATTGGAATGTTTTCTGTTCAAATACAGATGTAGCAGTTTAGTGTCATAGGAATGCTAAAGTGTTAAATTAACTGCTCTCAGATTGAAGTGCTGTATGAATGTATTTTTTTTTTTTCAGGTAGTGAAAATTGTTGCCTTTGCTGGGACGGGGAAGACCACAACTTTACTCCAGATGTGTAAGCAGCGGCCACACCAGCGGTTTCTCTTGGTCGTATATAACAAATCCGTCGAGGAACATTGCTCCAAAACATTTCCAGGAAATGTTAAAGTGAAAACTGCTCATGCCATGGCCTTTGCTAGTGTTGGAAAGCGGTATGTTTAGCTGTTGATGCAAAATTTTTACATTGCCAAAAATCATTAATGGCAGGATTTATAGTAATGGTTGAACTTTGTGTGAAGGATCAGGGTTAGAGAAACTTATAGTAGCCCATGATGTTGGCACTGATAATTATCAATTGGGTATTGTCTACAAAACATTATAGAGGAATTTGTCATATTGCTTTGTAATGCAAGGCATCTGTATTTGAAATTAAGTTATATCGATGGAAAAATGCCAAGATGCTCTTTTCTGTGGGGAGCCTCTTCAGCTCCCTGGAGCTATTGGGATAATATGCAATACATTAGACCAGGGCTTTAGTCAATGGAGTTCAGCCTACCGGGGACCATGAGCCAGAACCTGGCCTTCTGAGAGAATCACAGGGAGCAATGGCCCCTGGAACCCCCCCTCCTGTGGTTGGGGTTTTTCCTTATCTGCCATTGACCGGGATTAGGCACCCAGAAAGGCAGGCATAACAAAACGGATCCCACATGGTAAGAAAATTACAACTGAAAACCAAACAGAGGCTGATTTTTTGGCTGATTATTGGCTGATTCTGTTGCCTCTGGAGACGGTGTACTTTTGCGGGGTTTTTCTTTTGTTTTTCATTTTTCTTGCCTGGTGGGGGTCTGCCTAAGGTGGTTATAGTTCCACTGGTAGTGTTTGGCGGCCCTCTGCTAGGCCCCCGTGCTTGTACATGTCTCAGGGGTTTTCAGTGCTATAATTTACCCTCTTGTTATGTTTGGGTTTCTTAACCGGTTAGCAACACCTTGCCCGGGCTTCCCGTAGTTGTTACCCTACGGGCCCTGGAAACCCCTGTCTGGGCTCGGGGGACCATTGAATGTGTCTTCCGGGTTCCAACCCGTCTTGTACGGGATCGTTGGTTGCTGTTCCCTTGTCTCCGGGTGACAGTCGCCAATTTTACCTCCGTCGTGCTGCCTGTTGGGTCACTGACACCTTGACCCGGAGTCTTGCGAGTGATTCTCTGCTTGTTCTCCAGTACTCTCCTGATGTTATTACTGTTCAGAGTACAGGCGGCATCCATGTTGCAAGCTAGGTTAGGTTGCTGCAACATGCTAGGTTGGTTTCCCACTCGAATGCCCCGTGGCCGCCCCGTTTGGTTAGGTGCTGCTCGCCCCTTTCTCTCCATGTTCCCGGCTCCGGACCGTCTGCGGGTTTCGGGGTCGGGGCGGGGTTTAGTTGCGGCAGAGACTCGGGTGGTTTTCGGGGGCTGCCCCGTTCGGGTTGGGGACGGAGGTTTGAGCCTGTGCCTCCTGCCAAGGCTTCTGGGTCTTACCAGCGGCCCTTTCTTGTTGCCTTTCCCATGGACTCTTGCTTTTCTTTAAGGGCGGAGGGCTTGGAGGACGGCTCTGCCCCGGGGCCTCTGTTGTTGGTTCCCGGGGCTGTGGGGGTTGCCTGCTAGCAGTTCTGGGGCGGTTTTGCCCCTTCAGGGGTTTTTCTGCTGTTGGGCGGCGTTTTTCGCCCTTCCAGTCTGCTAGCTTCCCACATTTGCTGGCGTATTTTTGTGTATTTAGCGTCAGTCACAGCCCCTGCTGGCGGCCATTTTCGTCTGCCGGTTTCACGGCGTGGCCACCAGGGCGGCGTTGCGGTTTGTTTACGTGCGTCTGGGTGTGCGAGCGAGCGTCTCTGGTGGGTTTTCAAAAATTTTTTAGGGTTTTTGTTCTCCTGTTGTCGTTTTTTTTGTTTTTCTGGTGTTTTCTTGCCGTTGCCTGTTCCTCTGGGAACGTTTGGGTGTTGATTTTGGGTCTGAGCCTATGGGTTTAGGCTCAGTGCCCCTGGCTGGTATGCTTGCTCCCACACCTTGCCCCTCGGTTTTCGGTCTGTTGGGACCGTTTTCCCAGGGCGTTCTGCTGGGGTCTGTGCTTGGCCTTTCAGTGGTGTTCGCCGGCAAATGTGGTGGTTTGGGCTCCCCCTGGTTCGATTCTGGGTTCCTTTGGGTTCCTTGGTTTCGTTCTGGAGGTTTCTTCCTCTTGGGCCCCCTTTTGTGGGTTCAGGGGACTTTGTTTCCTCGTGTGCCCCGGTTATGCCTTTTGGGGTTCCGGGGTCTTCCTGGCTTGCAGGCTGAGCTTTTTGGGTCTTGGCACATGTTGTGGTTGTGCTGGGACTTTGTGGTTTTGCTGTCGAGGTGGGCCTTTTGATGCAGTTTTGTGCCTTCTTTGCCTGGCCAGCGTAGTGCTCTCTGCCACTAGTCGGCGGCTTGTGCTTTTACAATATATGTCTTCACCTAGTTGTGCTTGTGGGGGTTGAGCTCTGGCTCCTTGGTCCTGCCTCTCAACCGTCCATCAACAGGTGTATCGGTTCCTGTGCCTCTTGGGCTCTGTCATGTCTCCATGTGACATTGTATGAGGAGTCGCCACATTACTTCCTAGTGCTTTCCCGTTCCCATTCTGACACTATAAAAAAAAAAAAAAAAAAAAAAAAAAATTAATTCTATCTGTGGCTCTTTTGGGTACTTGGTTTCCACCTGTGTCCCTTAGTGCGTGTGCCCCTTGTGTTACATAGCCTGTCCTTATCAGCCCTGTCGATTCCCTTGGGTATCTTGAATGTGGTGATCAGGTCGCCCCTCACTTCATCTTCCAGCGAAGTGTGGTTTCATTCCCGTAGTCTCTCCTCATGACTTTGGTAGTGTACTTTTTCTTTTGGAAGGGGTTCTGTTCCCTTCTCTGTTGACTGGGCGCTGGGGAAGCAGCTTGCTCTGTTGCCTCTCGCTTGGTCCCGCTGTTGGTGGGCGCTTTGGGTTGTCTTCCGGCCTCTGCTGGCGTCAGAGGACGGCTTCTCCCCCTTGGGGGGGGTTCAGAGCTGGCGGGGTGGGCTTCTTCCCCTGCGCTTCGTCATTTCCTCTTCGTGGGTGCGTGGGGCGTGGTCGATCCGCCCCATCCTTCTGGGCTTCCCGTCTGCTCTTTGCAGTCATGAGCTTTTCCCGTCTGCTCTTTGCAGTCATGAGCTTTTCCGGTCTGCAGTTCTTCTGGACTACTTCAGTCTGCGCCCTGGATCCTCTGCCCTCCTCGCAGGACTGTTGTCTCCTGTTCGGATTCTGTTAGGGCCGGGTGCATAGATGGTGGACCTGGACCTCCAGGTCACTTCTTGGCACGTTCCTCTCCAGTTTTTCTGGGGCTAGCACGGTTAGTAATTACCTATGTGTACTTACCTAAGTGTAATTACAGGATGAGAGCTACTCTCGTGGTGTCCCGTCTTCCCAGCACTCTTTGTCATATTATGCTTTGATTATGATTGTCATATTGTCATATAATGATTGTCATATGTCATAATATGTCTTAATATGATTGTCATATAATGCTTTGGTGGTGGGGCTTCAGGTTTGCTGTTTTTATTGCCTTCCCTATTTTGTAAAGGGCACTTTGTATACTCTTTGCATCTTTACCGGATCTTAGTGCCCTGTCTGCGTCTGAGATTTGGTGTCTGGCCTACCTCGACGACTGGCTGGAGTGGGCTCCCAGTCAGTCCGCTTGTCTGCTCGCCAGGGGATGGTTCTTTCCAGATCGCTGGGTTTGGTTTCCTGGTGATCTGGAGGTTTTTCCTTCTGTTTCCGTCCCGGGTTCGGACCTGGGCCTTGTTTCAGGCGCTTGGGCCCCTCATTGTCTTCCCTCCAGAAGTGTTACTGCGGCTGCGGTCCCGCCTATGGCTGTTCAGGAGGGGGTCCCGGGTTGCTCAGCGGTTGCTTGGGCGGTTGTGCGGGAGTTTGCACTTCGGCGTGCTTGTCTGCCCGCGGAGTCGGGTTTGGCTACGGCGTCGGTTGGTTCCTATGGAGACTCCCCTTCCGCCTCTTGCATTCCTTGGGTTCCTCTGGGGATCTGGTGTTGGTGCTGCGTCACCAGCTTCCTCTTTGGGGTTTTCGGGGTTCCGTGCCTTGGCACCTCCCCGAGCCTTCGCTCGATGTGTTCACGGACGGGTCGTCTCTCGGCTGGGGCTTTGTGACCAGTGCTCACCAGGTCGGCCGAGGTTGATGGAGTCTGTCTGTCCGTCGGGCTCAGAGCCCGGTTCAGGTGTTCATGGCTGTCTGGTTTGCGCTTCGGAGGGTTTGGGTCACTAGGTACTCTACCATTCAGCTCTGTTTGGACTGTTCTCTGGTGGTTCTTGCCGGAACCACAGGGGGTTTGGTTAACCGTGTGGTTCGTGTCCGGGGTGTGTCCTGCGTCCTGGTGGACAGCTGTCTCGGTTCATTCCTCTTCGTGGGTTGGCCAGTCGTCGCCGATTCGTTTTGTTGGCTCTGTTGGGCTTATGGACTTCTGGCCATGGACGTCTTCGGGTCGGTGTGGTCTAGGCGTCGCCCGTTTTGTGGCGCCCTTCCCATCTGCGAGGACTTCCCGGTGGAGGCTTTCGGCAGGCCTGGTCGAGGTGGGGGGTACCTGTACCTCTTCTCCCGGTCCAGCTGTTGCTTCGGGTTCTGGCTCGGTTGCAGCCCATTCCCACGAGAACAGTCCTTATGGTTCCATGGTGGCCGGACCGGCCTTCTTTTCAGACGCTGCTTGATAGGTGTCCGTACCCGGGGCATTTTTCTTGAGGCTTCGCCTCTTTCAGCAGGCCGAATCGGTCCTGTCCGTGACTGGTTCGGCCTTCTCTTTGGCTCTTCGCGTCTGGTATTTTGACGCGGGTATCACCATCTCTATGGTGTTCTGGTGGCTTTGTTGACGGTGTCCCACCTGCGAGCTTCGTCTTGGAGACAGTATGACATTTATTACGTTTTCTCGCGTTTTGTTTCCCCTCCGGCCTGCTCATGAGTCGCCTGAGCCATCCTGGTCCTTGTTCAGGGTGCCTTCTTATCTTCCCCTCGGTTTGTGGTAGCCCCTTCGGTTTCAGTTTCCTCCTCTTTGGTACTGGTGGTAGCTTTATTGGTGTGCAGCCTTTCTCTGTCCTGGCGACGGTCGAGACGGCTGCTTTCCGGAGGGGTTCTTGGGGTATTGGTACTTGTTTGGTTTGGCCGGGGGTGCGTCCTGTGTTGTCCGGTTGTGCTTTTTGCTGTTGCCGGTGTACCGTGCCTGGGGATGCACTGTGGTTGATCCGGTTCCTTCGTTGTTAGCCCTTTCTTTTCCTTCTCTTTTTTTTCAGCCATTAAGTAATAAACCCAGTAAACCCACACGACTTGATAATGGTCCAGGACGGACCGAAACGTCATTATTTCTTCACTTTTTGATGTGTGGTTAGGTCATCAAACTCAGTAAATACAAGATAGTACTTGGTCCAGTTCAAAATCCAACTGAAAAAGTCCTTTGTTATTGCTCATCTTATGAACTTTTGTTTTCGTATTAGCATCTTTAGTGATGTTTGGCACCTTTTGACAGTGCTATGTAGTCTTCCCAGCTTGGTGCCTTACTTTTGATAATTACTTACAGATTATGAGAGCATGATCTAACTAGAGGAGAGAAGGACTAGAGAAATATAATCACTAGATCCACAATTTTAAGAAAATTGACAAGGTGTGCAAAGAGCTTTTTAAAATTTTGTGAAAACAAGCGTTAAGGATATGGATGGAAGCTGGAAATGCAAATGACTCAAAGAAACTTTGCACGTGCAAAGATTTTCCTGGAATGCATCTCTCATACATAACAAGGGCTGATTGTACAATTCTAAATTTAGATGTTTCATACTTTTAGTATTGCACCCTTTTGTAGTATTCTCTTGACATCCCTCATGACCCCATTCATATACAGGTGTATAAATATTGAATAATTTGCTAGGTAGAGAAAAATTCAGGATGAGGGGTTCTAATTATTTCATAGACCAGAAATATTACACCTCAATGGCTTTTTTTTTTTTTTTTTTAAGAATTTTTAATTAGACCTAACTGAAAAGATTTTAAGAGACCAATTTGTCTTAAATGTTTGATGTGAATTAGATCTATGTTTAATAATTTTGTTGTTTTCAGATATTCAGCAATTCGTAAACTGGATGGATCATTAGCAGCAAACAAGATAGCAAACTTCCTTCAGGAGAGGGAGAGAGGAGGAAACAGGTACGATCATAAGGTTGTGTGGGAAATAGGTTGAAGGTAAATTTAGAATGTATTTCCAGATGCTATCTAACAAATGGGGTTTTCACTTGTATCCTCCTCTTTATTTTTTTATTTTTTTTTACTGCAATTGACTGACTTTTTGGGAGAGCTCTATGGTGGCTCTTTTGCCTGCCTGGCAAGCTCTACCTAATTCAGTCCATGCTAGGCTCTTAAAAGTTTTAAATAAGTCTACCAGGGGCTAGAAGCCAATACCTAGCCCTTTACAGAGACAAGTAGCAAGGGATTGCAACTCACCCTATCCAAGAAAAAAAGATTAAATCGGATAAATCATCAAAACAGACAACAGCAAAGAAAGCAAGCCATAGAAAATTGGAGAGGGAAGTCCCCAAAACTCATAGACCACTTGGTGGTGAAGTAATTCTCACTAGTGTCACCTGCTCACCACTAGGAAGCTGTGCATCTTCCTCAATTACCAACCTTAAATCCTCTTCTGGCCTCGGTAATCTTTGGGTTTTGGATTTTTCAGATAAGTGTAGGCTATCCTGGACTATCTGTGCTGCAGGGGCTATTTACTTGTGTATATGTTTTGTAGTTTAGTATTTGCTGCATGGTGCAATTTGTTTATGCCCTATTTGTGTAGATTTGGATTTTAATTGTTCGGTTCGCACTGCATGTGCCTGGAGTTATCTCCAGATGTTCTCTATCATTGCTCTTGCCTAGCCAGATAAATTCTTTGGTGGGTGGTGGGTGTTGGGGACTGTTTCAGAGAGGCCGGCTTCCTGTGGAAGGTGCGTCATCCTTAACAGTATGGGTACATAGGTCTTTGACTCCTCCGGGAGGACTGGAGGCTGGGGGTAATCTGATTGTAATTTAATGGTTGCATAGGTAGCTCGCATGCTCTTTCTATGGTGCCCACTTGTGCTCTTAACAGCTGTCTTTTTCCATAGGCTGTTGTGAGACTGCCTAATTTTCCTGCACACTTATTAGCCCGAGAGTGGGTGTCAGATGTGGTGGTGGTAATTTAGGAGGTGAGAGAAAAACGCCGACGTCCAACTACTTGGACGTCGCCTGAGCAGTCCTGGTCCATGGACAGGATGCTCTCCTGTATTCCTCTCCTCGGTTTGTGGTGGCCCTTTCAGTTCAAGATTGTTATTCCAGGGCTCTGTTTCTGTTGGCATTGGCCTCTGGGGGTCAGGTCAGTGAGCTTTATACTTTCCTCCAGCACAGGGGTTTCTGCTCTTTCGGTCTTGGTGGTCGGTTTGTTCGGTTGCAACCTTCTCCTTTTCTGGCAAAGAACAAAAGAGCTGCTTTCTAGAGGGGGTCCTTGGGTCATTAATGCTTGGTTGGTCAAGCCGGGGGTACATTATGTGTTGTGTCCGGATGCAGCTCTTCACTGTTATCTGCATGTTTCGGCTCCAGTGGCTGGGGATGCACTTTGGGTTGATCCGGTTTCCCTCATTCCCTGTTCCAGGGCTCGGGTCTCCCAGGTCGTCTGCAGGGATAAGTTTGGCCAGCCTGCAGTCTATCCTCGTGCCCATGATAGGATGTTTGCTGCATTGGCTGCTGTGTTTGGAACATGTCCTGGGCGGATCCAAAATCCCCGCACCATTCAGGTGCGGGGAGTTTGGAGGTCAAACAGGGTCCTGGCTGCCCATTATATGATTAACGTTCCTGCTCCTGGGTATTCCTATGTTGCTTTGGGGCACAGTTTGCAGCCAGTTGTCTCGACTTAGGTAAGTCCCTCTTTTCCTTGTCAGCATTGAAAACCAGCATTGAATGCAATGAAATGCTATTTTCTGGGTGAGCCCCAGAGGCTCCCTGACAACCCTCCTTCCCTCCGGTTGGCGATTTTTCACGTCTTTGATGCCTAGCTTCTGAATTGGAGTGCTAGGTTGCCGGCCTAGGGAGGTCCAGGGCTCCCCCCCTCTCCCTCTAGGGAAGGGGAGGGCTGCGCGGATGAGCGACATGGCGGTGGAGTGTGACTTTACTTGTTTCCTTGGGATTGGGGGGAGTTCTGCCTCTTTTCAGGTTTTAGTTGTAATTTTCTTACTTTTTGGGGTTTGTTTTGTTATGCCTACCTTTCTGGGTGCCTAACCCCGGTCGATGGCAAATAAGGAAAGCCCCCAACCACAGGGGGAGTTTTCCCAGGGCCATTGCTCCCTGCACCTCTCTGCGGGGGCCAGGTTCTGGCTCATGGTCCCTGGTAGGCTGAACTCCATAGACTAATGCCCCGGTCTAATGTATCACATATTAGTCCGATAGCTCCAGGAAGCCTCCGGGTCTCGCCTAGAAAATGGTGTTTCATTACATTCAACACTGCTCTTTTGCCTGGCATCTGAACCTGGATATTTTTCCACGGCTCCTCCATTTCCAGCAGTTTGGGCCAGACATGTTTCTTGCTGGTTTGATGTTTTCATCCAATCTTTGCATCTGGAGTTTTTGACATGCATCTATCACCATTTGTTTGGTGTGCATGTGGCTGAGATAGTTGCTGGTATTCCACCTGCATCTTTCATTGCAACAACACTATGACGTTTCTTGGCAGTTTCTTGATGTCTCTTCATTGCTTGTCTTCCTTTTCAGTTCTGGTGGTTTTTCTTTCTTATCCTGGTTGTTACTTCAGCAGCATTTTATGACTAATACTGCTACCTCTTATTGTTCAGCCTTGGCAGGGCTACTTTTGTTGGCAATCGGTGTCTGTCCTTCTTTAGCATTGTTTTGCAGGTTGTCTTGTGCATTCCTTTCCCTCCAGCCTAGTCTCTCTCCTGAGTTACCTTGATCTCTGGGTAGGGTGATGGTTTTCCTCTCATCCCCTTGGTTACCTGGTTGATGGGGTTCTGGGAGTTCTTCTACTCCCCAAGCCCGGCCCGAGGCCAGGCTTGACTTGTGCGAGTTTGGTCCACTAGACTGTTGCTTGGAGCGGCCCGCAGGTCCACATACCCACCACAGCCCAGTTGGTCCGGCACTCCTTGGAGGAATAAATCTAGTTTCCTCTTGAAGATTTCTCAATCTTCCCTTCGGTGCATGATGCTTTTTTTTCTAGACTGTTTCTGTTTACTATTGTTTGTAAATACTAGTGTAAAGTGATGGGTGCATCACTGTAAACAGGGCTACAACCATCTTTACAGGCAATCATTTGATGTATATCTAGCCAGCTAGCAAATGAGCATATTTTCATTGAATTGAATATTATCAAATTTTTACCTTCTATTTCAAATACATTCTGTATACACTATATACACTGTATATATTCAGTATAATCCTATAAAAAAAATCAGTGCTTTAGAGTGAGTTGATGCTTATATTTTTTAATCTGGCAATGTAAGGGTTGCTGAAAATTTATACTTCAAAGGGTATAGGGTATACTTCATAGCAAATTAAAGATGGTGCTTCAAAAATTTATTTCATGTTCTTTGTTCTGTGTACATTTCCATAGAATGTTGATGTTCCCTTCCAATTACTGCAGGTTTCGACGAGCAGCCTTGGTAAAAAACACAGTTGAAAGATTTCTCAATTCTGCGGACGATTACCTCACCCTGCAGCATGTGCCTACAGTAGATAAACACAATGTGGCCCTTGGTGATGATTACAGGCTTAGGGTTAGTTCATTTGGTTCTTGGTTTAACAGTAGTTGATATATATTTCAGGTGATTACTAACATACCTGACTAAGTGCTTCTGCCACTAAATTTGAGTTGAGTATACCAATGCATTCCTCCAACCTTCTTATTTTGTTGGGCACAATACTTTACTGAGAGTGCAAGCACTCTTGAGGTAAATAATCCCATTATCATAACCAAATATATCTAGGCACATTCATCATGTCTGAGAGAGCTTGAGCCTCACACACGTGGGGTCCATGGTTGGAGACCCATACAGCCCAGGTGAATTTAGTGGAATTCATTGTGTTCTTGTTAATGTTTTCCTGCACTCTCTCCCAGCCAATCCTCTCAAGAATTTGTTTTAGGTTCATTCCATCCTTCCTCGTTTGAACTTCAACCTGTGGTTCTTTTGTCTTACTTTCTGCATCATCAATGTTATAGCTTATTGCAGACTTAATATTGAAAAGCATATAATCACTTTACCCAAATAAAGACTCATAAATAACCTTAATAACTTCTCATGATAAAAAATTATAATACATTGCAACCCTGATTTGATGCATTTCCATGTAACAGCTTTTTTAGTTATGAGGGTATATGTTTTGTTATTCTAGGGTTAGGAGTACTGCAATTGCAAAAAAATTTGTTTGAATTATTAGTACCTGGATGGGTACTAACCATCCTGGGAGTTCTTCTACTCCCTGAGCCCGGCCCGGGGCCAGGCTTGACTTGAGAGCTTGGTCCAACAGGCTATTGCTTGGAGCACCCCGCAGGCCCACATATCCACCACAGTCCAGTTGGTCCAGCACTTCTTGAAGAAAACTATCTAGTTTTCTCTTGAAAATGTTCACGGTTGTTTCGGCAATATTTCTTATGCTCGCTGGGAGGATATTGAACAACCGTGGACCTCTGATCTTTATTCAGTGTTCTCTGATTGTGCCTATGGCAGCCCTGCTTTTCACTGGCTCTATTCTGCATTTTCTTCCATATTGTTCACTCCAGTATGTTATCTTACTGTGTAGATTTGGGACCTGGCCTTCCAATATTTTCCACATGTACATTATTTGATATCTCTCTCGTCTCTTTCTAGCGAGTATAGTACATTTGGAGATCTTTGAATCGAACCCAATAATTGATGTGCTTTATTGTGTCTATGTATGCCGTATGTTTTCTGTATTCCCTCTATTTCAGCAATCTAGTATACGAATAGTAAAACTTGGAATCCAGATTGAAGATTGAGCAGTAAATTATTTAACCAACTTTTCACTGGTGCCTGTGGAAAGCAATGTCTAGCTCTACTCTCCAAGTTCATAGATATTGTACCTGGTGTAATGACATCAAATTTATTCCATATTCTCATGAATGTATAGACAGAGAATGGTATGTTATCAAGTACTAAAAGTAAGTTACTTACGTAATATATAATTTCTTTGTGTAAATAAGTATTTCACCATCACAGATCCTGTTACCTGATGCCGAGTCAGTGTGGGAGGAAATGAAGAAGTGCTCCAACAAGCAGGAAATCTCCATGACTCAAGTATGTGGCTTTTAAGAGAACTGTACTGTGTACTGTTGGCCTTCTTTCATAATTTCAGTGCATGATTATTGATTGTATCGTTGCCTTATAAATGCTGTACAGACAAGAGTAAAACATTGATGTAAATAGAGAATGTCTGTCTTATATTGTATCCTACTTGGTAATTAGTAAGTTATTAAATTTGATATTCCCGGTAGGGATATTTTATGATCAGAGCCAGAATTTGTCCTTTCAAGGTGAGATGCCATGTCAAGTTTAGGGTATCCACATAAAATAGAAATATCAATCGACTCGACTTTAAACTTGAAGCAATGTATTTGTCTCACCCTGTCTTAAAACATGAAGCAGTGGATTAAAATGGTTTAAACTATAGATTTTGAAAGTAAATGGGTAAACATGAGGTCGGAAATAAGATTGTAGAACATATTAATGACATTACTAGGCAGTATCATAGAAGGAAACCCACTTGGAAAGTTTCATGCATTGATTGGCCTAGTTAAGTGCTGGCACATGTGTGGTACGGACTGGGTATAAATAAGAACTGCTTTGCATGGGTCAACAAACCTGATGATTTCTGTATTCTTGTGTTCTTATATACATGGAAGTTCTGAAAGGTTTATGCTTGTAAACACATGCTTTGAACTTAGGTAATCCTCTTTGGATTGACTGTCTCCAGTGAGTCTCAAAGATCTTAAAATGGTCCTGCAGGGACCATGCAATTTTAAGAACATATGAATGGGGAAAATTGCAGAGGTCGATTGGCCCATGTGAGGCATCTTTTGTTTATATTCAACCAAACCACTTTATCATTTGCCTTAGAATCCAATGATGATATGCTGTACTTAAATTGTTATGTTTCTCTCTTCAAATACAACATAAATGTTCCATTATTAACTGCAGCTTTCATAACAGGGACAGTTTTGAACAAGACAATATTTTTTTGTACAAGTTTACAAAATTGCACTCGCACTAAGCTTGTAAACTTGCAGCATGTGCAGAATATATAATTGCAGTATGCATGTTATCACTTATCCACAATGTCACACTACAAAAATAACTTAACATACCTAAATTATGTTGACAGTTGTTAGAAATGGGTGTTAGGTGTGAATGTGGGGGATTAAGAGATTTTGGGGAGGATCTAAAAAATGTGTAAATGTGGAGGATTTTTTTGTAATTTTAAAACTACTGCACATGGTTTTGTTTTGGAACAAGGAAGCAACTATATTTGTTGGTCTGACAAATCCAACTGTCACAGTGAAAAGTAAAAAAAGTAGTCAAATTATTCCAGAAATAATTTTCCCACAGGATTCCATATTTTCTTAACTGTTGTGCTAAAATTAAATAAATAAATAAATAAACAGTATAATGCAGACATTGTTATAGCTAGATATTTCTTTAAGACCATTAATGTTCTCCATTCTGTCAAGGTTTGGAGCTCTATGTAACTACATATATTTTACTACCATTATCTCATTTAGTTCAGTTTAAAATTGTTTCTTTGTGGCTATGTTTTGATTTCCTATTTGCCACTATTTAATTGTAAATTTTCCCTGATAATTTCCCCTACTGATTTGTCTGTGAAATAGTGTGTTCCTTAACACTTTCACTCGGAAACGACGCAGCATTGTGTCGTCCGTTTATGAGACGGACTTCCGGTAACAACGCAGCACTGCGTTGTCAGTGGGGCAATGGTGTGGCAAAGTAGCAGCATCTTCGGGAAGGTCTTGCCGCAGTTTTGGACATTATATGCATATACTCCTGTAGGGAATTTCATTACAAATACATTGATACCAAAATGAAAGATCTAGGACCAGAATTGAAATAACAAAGTTGAAAAAGAGTATACCCATTTTATTGTTCTTTATTAGCGCTCACTGGGGTAACACTCCGTCACTTTCTCTTTCTCTCCGTTTTACTGTGGGTGGTACGATGGGCTTTTGAACTTTATATTTGCATATACTCCTGTAGGGAATTCACTCCCTAATGTAATGAGAGGTGTCTTGGAGTGGCGCAGCACTCCCTTTCTGGTCCACTTTCATCTTGTCGGCGGGTGGAGCGCGCCTGCGGTTTTTGACATTACAGTACTGTATATGCATATACTCCTGTTGGGAATTCTATTGCGAACACATTGATACCAAAATGAAAGACCTAGAACGAGAATTGAGGTTCAAAGTGAAAAGAGTGTACACATTTTATTGCTCTTGTGCGCTCCCGGGTAACTCGCTCTTACTTCCTCTGTTTGCTGCAGGCGGTAAGCAGGGCTTTTGGAGTTTATATGCATTTAGTCATGTAGAGAATTCTATTGCGAACACATTGATACCAAATTGAATATCTTAGGACGAGAATTGAGGTGACAAAGTTGAAAAGAGTATACTCTTTTCAGAATTACCGCACTCTCTCGTGAAACACTGAAAGCCCCCCTGGGGTAGTGCGGAGCTTGTGCGCCCAGTGAGTGAAAGTGGTAATTTGATATTTAGTTAATAGAACTTCTACATTAATCCATATTTCTGTTGCTGCAATAATCTATTCCTCAGTTTTATGCAGTGGTTGATAATTGAACTGTCTAACTTTTTTGCCTTCTTACCATACTGTCTATTGTCAACTATGAAATGTTGTTATAAAATAAATAACTGGCATGTGCCTTCATAATCACTGAAGTCTTTCCCATCCTTCTCTGTCTTCCCACGAAATCCTTTCCCCTCCCCTACCTAACCCTTCTTGCCCTTTCCCTACTTAATCCTTTCCCCACCCTCTCACTTAATCTTTCTCTACCCCCATATGTTTCTCTACTTTCATACTCCACATAATATCTTTTCAAACCCCCCACTAAATCTTCCCCCCCCCCCACACACACACACAATCCTTCTCTACATCTCACTGGATTCCCCCCTCTAAATCCTTCCCTACCCATCCCCCCCCCACTAAAACCTTTCTACCTCTCCCCACAAAATCTTTTCCCACTCCATCCCTCACTCCCCACTAAATCCTTCCCCACCTCCCAAATCTTTCCAAATCCTCCACAAAATTTTTCCCCCCCCTCCTCCTTTTTTCCACTTTTCTTCCCAGTAACCATGTAGTCCTAATCATTATTTCACAAGAATGTGTAAAGTACAGTATATACTGTCCTTGAACTCATTATACTACCTGAATGTATTATATTTTAACTTATTTTATTTTTACTGTAATCATTGCACCCCTCAATACTCATTACATTCCTCTGCTCATATAGTTATGCCGGCCTGGGATACCTCTCTTGATCAATAATGATCCACACACATATCTTATCATTTTGTTTTTAACAGGATGGACAACTGAAGATGTGGCAGCTGAAGAAGCCACACCTCTTGGGTTACGATGTGGTAATGATTGACGAAGGACAGGATATGAATGCTGCCATGTTTGATATCTTTCTTAGTCAAAACTGTGCTAAGGTATGTTATTAAAGAATAAATGCTGAAGAGTAATTAAACTGTTAAATATTAAGAAATATTAAGTTGCCCTCCTCTGCCTTTCGTGTTTTTAATGCTTTGTCATGTTCTGTAAACTCTTCCCTTTTTATTCGGGTCTTATTTCAGATAGTTGTGGGTGACCCTTACCAGCAAATCTACTCCTTCCGAGGGGCAGTCAACGCATTAGATAGAGTGATGGCAACACACACATTTTATCTCACCCAGTCCTTCAGATTTGGGCCAGAAGTTGCATATGTAGCACACTGTGTTTTGGAATCACTTCTTGGTGTTCACAGACAGACTATTGTTGGAGGAAGGAAAAAAGATACAATTGTTGAAGTTCCTGATGCTCGGTCTTATGTTACACAGCCAAAACTAAAGAGGGCTTATTTAGCCAGGACAAATTTGGAAATATATAAACTATCTATTAAAATCTGTGAAGATGAGGAGTTTAAATCTGCTTCCATGGCATTTGCTGGTGGAATTAAGAAATATGGATTTGGTACTGTAATGGATGTATATAAATTATCTCAAGTTGAAACAGGATTTGGTACTGCAGAAACATTACAAATTCATAATAAGTTAATAGCCAAGTTTAAATCAGTGTCCAGCCTTGCCAAATTTGCTGAGAATCTTGATGATCATGAGTTATATAACAAAATAATGATGTTCAAATATAGTGGATTTAATACACCTAATCATATAAACATGCTTAAGAAAAGATGTAATGCAGATCAGTCTGTTGCTGACATTATGTTTAGCACCATTCACAAAGCCAAGGGACTAGAATGGGAATGGGTTGTATTGATGGATGATCTTCTACCTATCAACATAATCGATGGACCTCGCTTCTCTGCTAATGCAGGTGATGAACATAATTTACTGTATGTGTCAATCACTCGTGCAAAGAAATACCTGACCATCAACAGTGCTGCTCTTTATACCATGATTAAAGCACGAGACAAACTGGAAGTCTTGGTACCGAAGAAGAGCATTGATGTGGCAATGAAGTGTCTCCAGTGTGCCAGTTCAACAGTGGCAGATTCAAAATATCCAGTTGTGACTAAGGTATGCAGAAATTGTTAATAATGATTTTTACTTTTTAATTATTAATAGGTATAACCTGTAGGGATAGATCATGATTTCTATATAATTACTATTCTTGTCATTACTATTCTCTGATGTCCCTTGGTGATTTCTTGAGAAAACCTTTTGATGATGATTTAAATGCTTATACTGTATATTACTCTTCAGTGCACATCTAACAGAAATGATCACACCATATCTGACTACAATGCACAAATCAAACAGGGATGATCCCGTCATATCTGGCCACCCTGTGCGAGTCAAACGGGGAGGATTTAGAGTACCATATAAGATTTAAAAGTCCCGCACATACATGCAGCTCACATTTGCCTGAAGTGGGCCTGAAGTGGCTAATTGTACGCACCACCCAGTCATGACCTTTGCCCACACCATTTGGTTTAAAAAGTTTGGAAGCTCGGAGGCCTTCTTTTGGACAAAAGAGCTTCATTGCAGCAAGGGTCCACTGTAAAGAAATTTTACAGTTATTGTAACATATAGAATAAATTTGTAATATTACTGTAAAAATAAGTATAATTAATATTTTCAAATTTTCAGGTACCCGCAGTCTCCATATCATATGATGGTGATGTGTTTCATGGGGGTTACTTCTGCAATGTCTGCACCTCTTTTGACAAATTTGTACCACCAATAACCTCAAGGTAAAGAGCAGGTTGTTAACATGTCATTCTATTCTTAGCAGGTCATTCGGTTGTTAGTTGAATTACTCAGTTCGTGTCTTCCAACTTCAGGAAGATCTTGTAGTTACCTAACATTTGGCCTTCCGGTCTTGTTCACGTTTATATAAGCAAGTGTCATCCAGTTGACAGTAAATCTTATGGCTTTGGTCATCTTGTTGTTGTTAGGTTTTCTTGTTAGTGTGTTTGTCATGTGCTAGTGGATCATGCATTAGTAATCTTTACATTCTTTAGTTTGCATTTCTTCTTTTAAGTTTTTAAAAAGTTTGATTGAAGACTATTTTGATAGTCTTCAAATATACTATATTTACTAAGTATACTAATATACTAAGTCAATACTATATTTGATTGAAGGGAGCCGGTCGGGTGAGCAGACAGCACACTGGACTTGTGATACTGTGGTCCCGGGTTCGATCCCGGGCGCCAGTGAGAAACAATGGGCAGAGTTTCTTTCACCATATGCCCCTGTTACCTAGCAGTAAAATAGGTACCTGGGTGTTAGTCAGCTGTCACGGGCTGCTTCCTGGGGGTGGAGGCCTGGTCGAGGACCGGGCCGCGGGGACACTAAAAAGCCCCGAAATCATCTCAAGATAACCTCAAGATAACTAAATTCTATCAGTTGCTCTTTCCAGGTTCATTCATATGTTAAACAGTGTAAATCAATGTTAAAATCTCGCTAAACCCCAAAACGATGAATATTGAACTAGCCCAGTTGTTTCAGGTCATGAGCCTAAATCACATTATACATTTCTGTGGGGAACCCCTTTGGCTCCCTGGAGGTTTTTTTTTTTTTTTTTTTTTTTTTTCAAGGGATATTCCTGTTCAGGCTCTAAGACTCTGGGTGGCCCACTAAATGTTGCTTGTTTCTGTTTTACTTGGGCAAAGTATGAGTATTTATGACATATGGTCGCTTCAGTAAGATTTTGTCCCATGTGTTTAACAACTTCGTCTGCTTTGTTGAATCCAAGTTGAAATCGTAATGGGTTTGTAACTGTGCACTGCGTTAGATAATGTTCCAGTGCAGATGAGGAGTCACAATAACGTGACTGAAATATGTTGACCAAACCACACACTAGAAAGTGAAGGGACGACGACGTCTCGGTCCGTCCTGGACCATTCTCAAGTCATTCACAATCGACTCGAGAATGGTCCAGGACGGACCGAAACGTTGTCGTCGTCCCTTCACTTTCTAGTGTGTGGTTTGGTCAACATGTTCCAGTGGTCTGTTGGGCATTTCTCCGCAGTGCTGACATTTCCTCTCATCTTCCGGAACCTGTAAGCCTATTTCCCATGCACATGGGTCTTCAAGCCTGATGCAATGTAAGTGTACGTCTGTTGCTCTACTTCATCAAACTAAGTGGTTCATAGTTGCTTGAATTCTTGTACCAACCCGCAGATCCTGACATTGCAACTGATGTGTTGTGGTCACTGTACATCTTTTGCATTGCTCTGTTTCTCATTACTTTCTTAATCTGTGATAGACTCTATGGTATGCAAATGTCTACATTACTTCTCTTAGTTGCAAGTTTTGCAGCTTCGTCTGCAATGTCATTTCCTATTATTCCCACATGACTTGGCACCCAGTTGATAAGTACCCGACGGCCTTGACGTTTGAGTGTTTTCATTAATGATATGACATTTGTGATCAGATGGATGTTATCACGTATGTGTTCTTGTTGCAAGGTTTCAATGGCAGTTCTCGAATCTGTATGTATGATAACATGTTGTTGGTGTTCAGCAAGAGTATGTTCCAAAGCCTTTTGAATGGCTAACATCTCTGTTTGTAAAGTTGAACACCGATTTGAGAGTTTCCAACTATTTACAGAGTTTCCTGCTTTAACTGCAGCTCCAGTTTCTTGTCCCTGCTGGTCTACTGATCCATCTGTGAAGTATATGAAGCTGTCAGATGCCAAGTTTGCTTCTATATGCATCTGCGCAATATTACGTAGCAGATGAGGATTAGTCTGGTTCTTTTTTCCTTCAAGAACCATAATCTTAGTCTGTTGGCTGGAGCTATCAGACTGATATGCGATATATTAGTCTGGGGCATCAGTCAATTGGGGTTCAGCCTACTGGGGACCACGAGCCAGAACCCGGCTCCCTCAGAGAGACAAAGGGGGCAATGGCTTATGGAAACCCCCTTGTACTTGGGGGCATTCCGTGTCTGCCATCGACTAGGGTTAGCACCCAGAAAGGTAGGCATAACAAAACAGAACCCACATGGTCACTACATACATGAGATCAGTTCAGGAGTATATATCCCCACTATAAAGTCCCTGACTCAAAAACCTGAGGTTTGTCTTGGCATTATATGGAATTGGGTACAAAAGAAGAATGATCGAGCTAGACTATGTCACTAAAAAAGAAATAAAGAGGACACATAAAATACTTAAAATAATTGACTGGGTGTAGTAAAGTAAAGGAAAGAGCTGTGATCATCATGTTAATGGGTTTGTGTGTTTGCCGTTTCACTTTAGTTTACACTACACTGTACTTGTAAAATAATTACTGTAAATGTATTTTCACATACTATAAATGGCAAAAGCAGTGATTGAATCCTCTATTTAGGCCTACAATGTAATATATACACCTGTATTGTTCCTGACACAGCTCAAAGGAAGTCTTGCAGCCCACTTCTTTGCTGTTATTCTGTCTGGTAATGTTGTTCAGAAATAGGTTGAAATGCCAATTTGTAACTTGATTATAATCATCTAATTTGTATAAAACTATACAGTAATCACAATTTGTATGAAAACCAGGCGATAACTAAAATAACATGTGATGATAACCACGTTTCTCTGTGGATTAACCTGTGCTGATACCAAACTTTAAGGGTTTAACTTAATTTTGTATTTGTAATTCTCCTTAGGTTACTTTTTATCAACAAAATTATAGCAATTTCTTTAATATATACACTTTAATAATATATATTGGCCAAATATTGTTTTAATTAAATTACTTCAAGTTATTTAATAATTTCACTGATTGCAGACACAGTGATCAGAATGTACGTTACCAAAAGGATTACTCTCGCATCTCGAGGTTGATGCTAATTACTGGCAAGCAGCATTTCTTAGAGACAGAGTCTACAGGGCCTATGGAAAGGGTAGGTACAGTATTATATATTTTAGCCTCAGATATGACAAAAGGAAGTAGTGGTTAAACTAATCTGACCATAGATACAATTTTCTCTAGTTCTCTTGCTTCTTGTTAATACAGTAATCTGAAATGTAATAAGATTGTTGAACCTTGAAAATCTGAGATACTTGCAATCAGGCAATACTATAGTTTTTGAATGGTGTGTGTACTGTTCAACACCTACCAGTGACATCATTTCACATACTATATTTAATCAAACCCTTTCTATTTCTACGTAAATAAAGATAAAGCCAAAAAAATGTAGTTAATATTGTAGGACCTTAGAGGCATAAACACCTGTACTAACTACCCTTATCAATGGAAAATTTCCTTGTTAGTCGAGTCTTTCAGCTTTAATAAGAACAAAAGTGGCAAAATGTGTTGCAGAGAAAGTGATGATTATAATTAGTGAAACAGATTTCATGTACTGGGTTAGTCTGGCTGTGATGGCTAGGTGGGTGTTTAAAGCTACAAAGACAAACAGCTTTGCTGATCAGACAATCATCTAGAAAGGCCTGCTGCAGTTCTCATTACTACTCTCCCCTACACCTGACTTTCCTCCTCAGCTCTCTCTTGCCTATTTAATGCCTGTCCCTACCTGTCCTCATCACAATCGACTTGAGAATGGTCCAGGACGGACCGAAACGTCGTCGTCCCTTCAATTTCTAGTGTGTGGTCTGGTCAACAATCATCTAGAAAGACTGGCCACTGGACAAAGAGTAGATTTACTCTTGAGATTGTCAACAGGTAATCAGTACGTTCGACACTTTGTGAATGTAGACCAAGACAAGTCAAGTCCAGAGAGGGTCAAACAAGAGGCTATGGCAAGTGATCCCCCAATCACATGGAAATGGAATATTCCACCTATACCCCAGTTGATGCAATGTATGGTTGACAAATCCAAATGCAGATGATAAGCAAACCCCACAGTAGAGTATTTCTGTTTCAAATACACTACCACCAACTATTGCACATTGAAACGAAGCAAATCCAGAACCAGATGCCCCCACCCTAGCCTGCATGACAGTGGCTTGTGATGAATCCCCAGCCATGATATGATAAGTGTCATTCATGAAGACCTTGAGAGGCGATGAGGTGGTTTTAACTGAACCAAACCCCCAAAATCTACCATTGGAAATCACTGAAGATGATTTCTCAAGGCTAGCAGGTACTGTTTCCTAGATCAGCAATAAGCATGAGAGCGAAGGAACCAGTTTGTCCTACATAGCCACAGCTGGCCCAAGGAGTACACGAGGCAGGCAAAGTGCAGTCTACCTAAAGCTCTAGTGATCAGGTCAAATTGATCAACCATCTGACAGTCATCCAGTGTTGTAGTATGGTGACAGGCATTGATGGAATAACGTTAGGAGTGTCATTGTTGGAAGTTGGTAGTAGACACTGAATTTACTGGAGGATTTTTTTTTTATATATATAATCCGTGGACGGCTGATTAGATATTGGTGTACTGGAAAGTGTCTAATGTGGTCCCACTTCCAGAAGTAGAAACAAAAATTTAATTTGTTATAGTCCAGCTTGCCCATACAGTATTTATCTTGGGCACGAGGATGATGATGTGTAGGCAGGCTGCAATTGGTCCACAGTAGGTGTAAAAGACAGAGAAAAGTGAGGCACTGGAGAAGTAGCATGGCAAGGTCAAAACTGTAGTGGCAAACCATGTCACCACATCCACCATCTTATGTTCACCATGTTTTACACCATTTCTATTGTTTAATTTATGCAGTAAACTTTATTTATAAATAAAACAAAATTTTACATAATTTTGGTTAATATTACATTAACATTTTTGAGTTATAGATTGAATTTTTTCCCTCAGGGATGGCATCAGTATGCACTCAGACCACGTCAAAGAAGATTAAGACGGACCCTTTATGATATAAGACTAGATGATGTGGATTTGTTGTTACCGCAAAATATAGGTAATATTCATGAAATTCCCAGGAATTTTGATCCTCCTGCAATAGAAATCATTCAAATTGACTGATGAATGATCGCAAGATTTCTTGGTCAGTGCTATTGAAATCATGTCAAATAAATTTAAACTTTGGTAACATTTTTAGATAGATGCTATTTTGTGTGTGTGTGTACGTACGTAGTGTACTTATTTGTGCTTGCAGGGGTTGAGCTCGGGCTCTTTCCCCGCAAGCACAAATGCGAGTACAAATACACACACTGTGTGTGTGTATGCATGCATGTCTGTGTGTGCACAAGTGTGCATGCAAGAGAGTGAGGGAGGAAGGGAAGGAAACATTTACTGTATAATACTTTAGTGTAAATCATATAAATTATTTTACATCAGTAGTTTTCACTTATTTGATAACTCTATAAATTATTAGGTGTATGACTGAAGACTTGAACATAATGAATACAATATATTTTTTATATGTATACTTTTTAAAAATAGGTTTTTGCATTTTAGCTAATGAAGGGTGCAAGCTTCAATTGCTTTAAGCTTCAAATTAGTATAGTCCATGTATTCCAAGCTTGAATGGTTTCCACCCCAAGTTAATCATTCATTCCTATAATGCATTTGTTTTCATTTTTGTATTGCATCCAGTCCCATTGTTTTTGTAATAACGTTAAGTAATATAGTATATATAACTGGATCTTGTTATGATTAATATTATGCAGTATATGGATGTCTGTGGTAATATATTGTGAATGAATCTTTTTGCTAATGATTTTTATAATTTTTAAATAATGATGCTCATTTTAGTTTTACTGAATTTGTTATAAAAGATTGTTTAAATTGTTACGATCCAGTTTCCCAGATTTTTTCCCTTGCCCAGTTTAGAGCAGTAGTCAATTGGTCCCACCCATGGCAGTGGTGCCACGGTCCCACTCATGGTAATAGTGGTGCCACGGTCCCACCCATGGGGGTAGTGGCATCCTGGTCCCACCCGTGGTAGTAGTGGCACCCTGGTCCCACCCATGGTAGTAGTGGCACCATGGTCCCACCCGTGGTGGTAGTGACACCATGGTTCCACCCGTGGTAGTAGTGGCACCATGGTCCCACCCGTGGTATTGGTCCCCACCAGTGGTAGTGGTCCCACCTGTGGTGGTAATGGTAATGGGACTGTGGTGCCACAGTCCCACCCATGGTAGTATATATAACGATCTTATGATTAATATTATGTAGTGTATGGAGGTCTGTGATAATATATTGTGAATGAATCTTTTTGCTAATGATTGTTTTATAATTTTTAAACAATGATGGACTTTAACAATGATTTTAGTTTGACTGTCATAAAAGATTGTTTAAATTGCTACCATCCAGTTATATATCAACACATCAATTACACCTTCAACTGTACCGTACGCCAGTTGATTGACAGTTGAGAGGTGAGACCAAAGAGCCAGAGCTCAACCCCTGCAAGCACAATTAGGTGAGTACCTGAAGAACATAGTCGGCTAATTTATTTTACAGCGAGGATGACTTTTGGTTCTAATCACACTCCCAATTGAGTGTAATATTCTACTGGCTCCTTTTACAATCTTGGTTCACTGCTTGCTTTGATCAAGCTCACTAATTACTGTCACTTCAAAGTCTCTTCTTAATTGACTTTTCAGCCCGTCCTCCAAACAAAGATCCAAAAGTGATTCCATGCACCCGCCAAACCCCGTTTATGAATGAAAAGCGGTTTACACACGACTCACAACTGCTGGCGTTCGAACATATCCGGAACAAGTGCTTCACTGACGAATTTTGTTCGAACCACAACGCTATAAATGCTTCACCCACATACTACAAATACAAATAATCGCCAACAGAACCTAAACACCTAACCTAACCTAATCTATGCCTATTTATACACAATATGCTATTATAATATTAATTTATACTTGAAAAAATTCCCGTTTTGAATGAACAGCATATTAAAATTTATGAACGCGTCTGTGGGGTCGACCACTGAATGTAATGGACTTGAGTCGAGGATGGGTTGTACTTTTATTGGCTATATGGTGTTCATTCAGTAAATGGCTTGCCATTTCATTTCTAATATGTATTACTTTGTATTTATCAGTTTTAAAAGTCCTCTTGATATTCACCAGATCAATAAATTAAATTTAATGTTGGTTTGCAAGTCAATCTATTGGTATTGAAACTTTCCACTTCTTGCCGAAGGGAGAATCAATAGGTGCCGAAATCAACTTTGTCTTTATTGTCAATTTACGTGACAGGATAATTTTGTAAACTGTTCATCATTATCGACAATAGTTATCAATGAAGTAGACGAACTTTATATTTGAGGTGTGTCAACCCGACCATAAAAAAGTGGATGGGCAGATTCCTTTGGCTTAAAGATGGTGCTACATAGCCTTCCCGGCTTGGTGCGTTCTTTTGATAATTACTTAGTCTTCAAGAATGTTCATAACCCTTTGAGGAGGATGTACCCCCTCAATATCGTTTCTTCAGATAAATGGGACCCATATTCAGAACTTACCCATGTACACTGTCCAATAGGGCACACCAGACACTCAATTTATCAGACCAGAGTTCAATTCCTGGTAAGGCGAGACATTTTGACACTGCCTTACACATATGCTTTTGTTCACCTAGCAGTAAATGGGGACCTAGGAGTTAGTCAATTGTTGTGGGTTGCATTCTGAGAAAGTCATCATTGGCACAATATGACTTCAATAAACCTAACTGGCTTTCTGTCCCAGACAATAGAAAGCCATTTTCTATTTTGGTGGCTGAAAAACTAGATGATCACTTTATTATTGGCTGCTTTTTACAATATATTTTTTAGTAGAGAGTGCTTTTAATGCTAGAATGGCACCACATTTCTTAATTGAACCCGAGAATGGCACTCCATTTTAACCACTTAACTGCGCCAACCGAGTATTCTCGGTCGGGGGGAAACTGCGCCAACCGAGTATTCTCGGTCGGGGGGAAACTGCGCCAACCAAGAAAACTCTTATTTTTCCGTACCCATTCTAAATGTGTGCGAGGTTGGTTGTGTACGAAATGGACTCTTAGGACCTCCAGTGAGAGGCAGCCATCTTGGAAAAAATTCCCAGAATGCCCTAGGAGTGCTGGATGGGTTAGTACTGAGTAAGCAACTATGGGTGGCGCATGCGCCTCTGGCTCCCAAACACCTGTCTGACGCGGTGTTGAAAGATCGCGCTCTGTTGGTGAAATTCAAACCTTATTGTTTGAAGAACATAAGGGTCATAATATTGGTGAAGCTAGGCGCAATAAGGACCTAACACAAAGGTTGGGTGCAAGTGATACAGCACCTATGAGGATGATACAGCGAGCATATCCAATTGTAGCTCTGAGCACCACCCTTGCCCCATCTGTGTTAGCTCCAATTTATATAGATGATACATAGATGAATCGTTTTCTGTGTTCAGTGATGATGCATCTGATGCAAGTAGCTTAGATGAACAATGTTAGCAGCTTCCATGGTGTTTTCCATAGATATTTTCAAGAATAGCTGAATCTCTTCCAGACTGACACACTCTTTGAGGCTAGCTGAAAATCTTCCTGTGTGGGACCTTACAAAGCGATCTTTTCAAGACTACCTTACAAATTGATCTTTTCCTATAATCTTTTCAATACTACCTTATACTTTACAAGCTTGGCTACATACAACCTACAAGTACTAAAGACAAGGGTGTATGCGAGTGCGTTATTTGCAAGCACACAATGAAGAAACATGAAGCAAAAATCTATTTGTACCTGGTGCAACGAGAGTGAAGTTGCTCTATGCACCATGGACTACTTTGTTGATTATTACTCACTTCCGAAGTACTGAGTGTGTAATACAGTGTGTCACTGTGTAAATAGTGTGTGAAACTGTACATATTGTAATTTTAGTGAATTTTTAACAAGTAATATTGCGACAATAAACATTTAATGTGGGCACATTACTGACATGTATCACAGTTCCATGGAACATTATGAACGTTCTACTGTATACACATTGTAAAGGACACAAATATGCATCTCATACGATAAAAAAGCAAATATAACCGCATTGGAAATACATAGAACAAATAATTGAAAATATATTTGTGGCAACACCGGGTGCTTGAATGGCCCGCGTGACCGTGTCTGGGCGAGTCATGCACAGGCGACCAGCCCATGATGTCACAGCGCACCTTGTTCACACGGAAAAGCACACGCAAGCTTTTCCACAGCCAAAGTAAGGGGAATTTGGTATTTATTTTTACACAGACATGTTCAGGGAAGGGAATTTATCATTTTACGAAGAAAAAATAATTTTTGGGGAACACTTTATTTCATGCGCACAGGGGAAATTTAACAAACTTGGCACAGCACAGTGGTTAAAGATAAACAAGTTTGACTAGTGTTTGAGGTTTTATATATTCTAATCTATCTTTATAAACATTAGCTACATCCAGTACACCGCTATAAACAGTTCCTACTTTCATAAGGTGGAGAGAAAGCAGCCAGGAATAACAAACCATAGTAAAGATAATAAATCCTTAAAAAATAACTGGTGCATTCAATATATCTTTCACAATATAATACTGTATATAACATGAGAGATAGTCATTGCTGCACTCCAGGTGTACAGCACTATAGTGTCATATACATTTACGAATTCATTCACTCCCTCCTTGCAAACCACTTCCACTGAGCCTTGTTCCTTACCATAACCAGTGTGTTGTCACCACACGGTTCCTCCTCCCACAACTTGATCACTTACTCACCATTTAGTTGTTTACTATCTACAGTTGATCAATATAATCATTATTAATCATATTTGTAAATAAGTACTGTACAATGTTTATGGTTCCCAGTAGTATAGCTGGGTTCGTTCTCAATTCAATTCAACCTGTCCTAATAGAAAGCTGCATTTTGATGCATACTCTAAGGCCAAAAATTGTCATTCTAAAAAATGATTGTGGCTCACGAAATTGACATACTGTCACATTTTTTTTTTGGGTTTTCTGGTAGGTTAGGATAAGGGCACCTTAGTTTGACAGTTTCATGGCACTGAGAAATCTTCAGAGGACGGGCGGCTCAATTGGGATTTGTGGTTCAAACCCCAGGTGGGACAGAAATGGTTGGGCATTTTTTCCACCACCTAAAGTCTCTGTTCACTTTGCAGTAGAAATAGGTACCAAGAATTTGTTAGCTTCTTGTGGAGGTTGCATCCTAGGGAGGGTCAGTAATTTGACCTTGGGAGGGGAGGGGAGGACCTCGATATAGACCTAATATGTATATATCCATCGGCTGCCTGTCCCCCAACACAAAGAATTATATTATGTTGAATTAACATGGATTTTCATTTGTACAATATTTTAAGCCTAACTATAGTAGTAGATGATGTAATTTATATAGATTTCATTTTATAACTTTGTGGTGGAGGTTTGTTTGAATTGCAAGAAATAATAGAATATTAAACAATTAGGAATAGTGACAATAGAGTAAAGTAAATGGCAAATATCAGTTGGTCATTTAGGACTGAAGTTCTGTGAAAATTTATTTAAGTTGCTGTAGAAATTTTTTTCTATTTACTTTATACCAATCAATTGCCTTAAATTGGCAGCACTACATTGAATTTGCGAGACTGTGCCACAGTTTGGAACCCTTGATTTCATGATACTATCTTAAATATATGACTACATGCATTTCAAATAAAGGAACCTAATCTGATTAGGTTCCATCTCTAATTAAAAAGAATTGCATTACATTTACTCAAAGTTAAGAAATGTCAAATTTCCTCACTACATTGTGGTACCCCATCCTATTTTTCTCAATTTGCTGTCTTAAATCACCCAAGAATCTTGTGGTAAGAATTTATTTTAGTATTATAATAAAAAATATATGATCATTTGTTATTGTAGTTGACTTGCGATGCAGTGATGGCCTGGATTTTTAATCTAACATCAACTGTACAGTACTTCATCTTTATATATATTTATAATATATACTGTACTTACATATATATATACTCTGCTGTGACAGCAGATGCAGGCCAACAGTAAAGCCAATCTTTGTGTTGAGGATGGTGACAAGCCAACAGAAGAACCTGAAACGCATCTAATCTCGACACTATTATACACTGGTTATTTACGAGAAAGAAGGAGGGAACAATATGCGGCCAAACTGAAACTTCCTCGCCTTACTGATCTTGGCCACGGTCTTATAAAAATCAGAAGACAACCTGTAGTAGGACATTCTGAAATCCACTAGAAGGTACTAGGCCTCCCATCAATGGCAACGAATATCACAGACATCTCACCTCTCCGCTATCTTACAATGATGCCCTCACCTTATATAGTCAACACTGTTCTGGCTCACTATTTATTGTAACATATAATATATATTGTTGACTGTTACTTTGTGTATTAATACCCCATGCTAGTGTTGAGGCAATCAACATAGGTCAACAGTAGAGCCAGTCTTGGTGTTGAGGCGGGCGACATAGGCTGGGACACTTGGTGACCCCCGGCAGTTCGTGATCACGGGTGGGTCCCCAGCCCACAAAGTAGTGATCTTGACGTTGGGTCGGGAAGGGTTGAGAGCGATGGTGGGACCGGAAGTGTGGATTGCCACAGAAGTAACTGTCGTGGGCGAGCTGTTGGGAAGAGTGTGTGGTGGGGGTGACTGGTATCTGGCAGTGGTTAAATAACACATTCTGTATTTTGATTTTTGTCTATTATCATGTTTTGGTTATTATGATATTGCTAGTATGTCGGTTTACTTTAAGCTCCATACCCAGCCAATAGATGATGGTTGAAACATTACTGTTACTGATATTTACATTGAAGCTTTCAATATGTAAAACATCAAATCAAACATTACCTATGACTTATAGCTACCAGTTAATAGGCAAAATTGTGTTATACCATTAGAGTGGTGATAATGTTGCCATTATATATAATACTATAACTTGCCAGTTATAAGTGTTTTGTATCTATACTCCAGCCACGACTGTAATTATTCGTCGCTTATGAATAAAGTATCTGAATGTATGATTTTCTAGTGGCCTGCCCCACCTCGCTATAACCTAGTGGCTTGCCCCACCGCGCCATTAAGGAGTGTAAAGATCACTGCTCTAATGGATTGACTCACCACGGTGTCCAGAATTTCAGGCCAAACAACCCTCTTAAGAAGAACCTGGTCGTAGTCCCAGATGTCTCGTGGAGGCCATCGAAGCATTCCTCTCAGCATCTCTGTCATCTTACTTGCCCCTCTGGTCCGAGACCCACCCCACATCCCTGTAAGGACATGAAAACATTACTACAATGTTCTCTACTTTTTCTGAATATTTAGGTGACCATGGCAAAACTGTTACAAAAGCATATGAGAGAGTTATATATATATACGTATATATGTATCTATAAAATAGAGTGAATGTCTATCTGCCGTATCCTGTGTTTGTTATGTCTAGTGTATCCCAGTTCATGTCAGAGTGCATAAGTGATGAACCTCACTTCAAGCCAGAACGGGGTTCATTCTCAATTCACAATCGAGAATCCCGGCCTGAACTGAAATAATTGGGCGCATTTCCTATCTCCTAATGCTTCAGTTCATCTAGCAGTAAAATAGGTACCCAGGAGTTACCTTTTTGTGTGGTTGCATCCTGGGGTGTCAGTAATTTGATCTTGGTTAGAGGAGGGAAGGGGGGGAGGGGGAACTTTGACAAGTATATATACCCTAGCTGCCTGTCCTCCGACACATGAATTAAATTGCCTTTTGTGGATGTGTTGTGACTAAGTATTCATTCTCTCTCTCTTCTTCTAGAATTTTCCTCCTTTAATTATATGCAGATCCACTATGGAACTTCTGACAGTGAGAGTCAACCACAGTTGTGGGTTGCAACCTCGAGGACCACGGTGTTCACTTGGTAGACGAGACAAGCTGGATCTAACGGCAGTGACCACTAAGACCTACACATTCATCCCACCAAGCACAAGACTTCAGAATGTTGTAGTGATTGTTTTGTACAGCACACCAAGCAGCTCCTCCATCAGAATGGTGCACTGTCTGCAGATGCAGTACACTGGCACAACCCCCACTGACACCTTTGTGTATTGATATTCTACACTGCCACAAATATGAGCAACAACAACTCAAAGATCAATCTTTTTTGCCAAGGAAGATTGCCAACTCTTGCCAACCTCCTACAAGCAAATCTAGTACCTTCATTCACTGCACTGTTAAACAGAAAGCAAAATGCAGTCTTTATCTGCACTGTTGATAGCACACTTAACTCCCTACATGACAAAGTATCACCCATACGTGACATTGACAAAAATATCATCATTGTCACAGAGATGTAGCATTAACCTGGCACCAAAGTATTTAAGATACTCCTTTCAGAAACCAGCAAACTCCTGCAGCGGGGAATGAAAATCCTTAACACAAGTGTTCTAAATTACTGTACTTCATTAGCATAGTAGCATTTCTAAATCTAGTTCAATGTTTGAAGTGTTACAGGTGTTGTTATTATTAAATTATACACACAACACTAAAACATGCAAGGAATCACATTCTTGCTCTAAGTGCTCCCAACAAGGACACATTTGGACCAGCTGCAGAAGCACATTTGCTTGCATCAACTGTACTGATCCACACAACAGTGCATAACACCTGCCCAGTTAGGAAACAAGTACTCAAAAATCTGCACAACAAACAGCCTCAACTCAACCTCAGTCTGAACGCTCAGCTTCCAAACAACCCAACTATCTCCAGTACACACAACAAACATGTAGTGTGTACAACATGGTGCTGTCAGTAACCAATACATACACCACAGCCAAAACTACAATACCCATCATATTTGCACTCAACCCCTCAACAACCAATTCACAATCCACATCAGGACCTCATTTGTCATTAGACAGCCTGCATCCAAATAGCCAAACATCTAGCACAAGGTCAGCTGACATACTCCAGAAAATTCTCTCATAATGCACTTCCTGCCAATACTATCCCACCTTCACTCTTAGGACCAATCACAGCTTATCCTACCGTTCAAATTCCAGACTCGCACTCCTAATAATTCATCCTCCATAGCCCCTGCTGCATCAGCAGGTAGCGCCTCTCCAGCCACCACAGAACACAAACAGGACACTCAGCTAATCCCATATTTCAACAAACTCATCAAGCAGCTTGCCCTATCCACCCCAGGCACCAGTTACCCCCCCCCCATCCTACGCTACCATTATCTCTATTGCCCTCGATGGGGAACAGGAATTAGCTGATGGCTTGTGCAAAGGTCCCCACATTGTTCCAAAGAGCTTTTTCCATCTAAATTTTGAACTGAAGTAATATCTTCGCATTTGCAGCTTGCAGTAGGTAGGCAATATCATAGGTTTATAATCCTATGGGTGAAAAAGCATGTGTTGTCATACATTGTGTTTTGTTGACCTTGAAGCTGCTGCCCCTTGTATGAGTTTCATTTGACTTTTTAAAAAAAGTGGTCTGGATTAATATCCTCCAACTTGATCAATATTGTATAGGTCTCCTGTGATAAACCCTGTCATGTCTGGTTTACAGTGTTAGTTCTGTGGCCCTCAACTGATCCTCGAACAGTGCGAGTTAACTTAGTTTTATGATGGTAGGTAGGAACGCTAGGCCTCCTGTTCACGCAGCTTAGCAGTGCATTGATTAATACATTAAAAATGATAGAACTGAGAACACTTGAAGCTTAGGATGTGTAACACACTCACCGGCCAGTATGAGGCCATTATGGCTGGGGTGGTCTCTCATAAGGTGGACGAGGGCCGTGGAGTTGTGGAGCCACTGGTCAACAGCGGCTACTTCCCTGGCCAAGATGGCAGAGTCAGTATCACGGACCAGAAACTCTGTCACCAGCGGATCCCCCATGGGCAGGAACCTCCACATCTTGCCCACCAGGAGCTTCTCGTAGCTCTCTTGCCCTTGGGGGAGAGAATGTGATGTTAGGAAACAAGCACGATATATTAGAACATTTCATTGATAATCTTCCAGCTCTAGTAGCTTACCCTTTCCAGGGGAGGAGAGAGGTGTTGTTAAGGTAGAAACAAATATTTACCACCACCAAGTACGAAGAATTAAAGTGACCATCTCTAAAGTATTAAAATGCAAATAAAACTATCCATCTATCTATATACTAGTAGGGGGTTAATGGTGATGCCCAGCATAGTCTGCCGTTTTCCCCGTGCCCAATTCCACCCCTCTTTCTCCCTCTCACCCCTTTCCTGTGCCTTTCTATTCTCCTGCTCCCCTATCTCCCCCTTCCATCTCGTATCACCATTACCTCTTCTCGCCGGACTTCCCCTCTCCTCCCATCACCCAATCTCCCTACCCTCCCCCATCAACAGACATTTCCATTTATATGCATAGAAGAGGGTACCCAGCTGCACCCGGGTCTCTCCCCGCCCTCCTTTCCACTTCTTTATCCCATTTCTTTGACATGGAAGATATTGGAAGGCAAAGTCCCAAATTTACACAGTAAAGTAACGTATTGGAGTAAACAACATGGTAAGAAATGATAAGAGGCAGTGAAGTAGCACACTTTAGCAAATTTGGCAAGGCAAGGCTGTCAAAGGCACAATCGGAACACTGTATGAACATCAGAGGTCCACGGCTATTCAATGCCTTGCCAGCAAGCATAAGAAATATTGCCAAGTGAACTTTTAGAAAAAAATATACACGTCCTGCATAAACTACTGGACCAACTGGGTTGCAGTAGTTATATGTAGCCATAGGCTGGGTTTGGGGTGAGTAGAATTCCTAGATTTCGATTCAGGTTTGGTTACAGATTGTTCAGGCCCTTCATTACCGTCTTGCAGTCTTCTGCCATGTTTATTCACTTTATTAATGTTTCCTGATGACGTGAAAATAATGAAGTCTATTTCCTCTGGAGCATCGTTCTGACAACTCGGCCGTGATCGGACACCGGAACCCAGCTGGTAATCTCCCTCCAATCTGATGACACTTCACTCACAGTAACTCTGGCTTTATTGCTCCAAAATTCCTTAATCCTTACACTGCAACAGTTGTCAAATGTAAATTCTCCCCATTTGAGTTATTAATTAAATTTAGTCGGGTGCACCTTGATGATGTACTTTTAAATATCTGTGCACTTCAGGGGTTAATCCAATTTCTTTCTCGCTACTGACTTGTTTCTCTAACCTGGAAACTTATCTCGTGCTGGGCAGTGATAAAGGTTTTCTGTCAAAAGATACACATCATCCTGATTAATTAGTGCTGCAGGTTTTTCAAAAACAACTTTTTTCGGGCAAAACAAAATTCTTTCAGGTTTGTCTCGGAATACCATTCTTGAACCTTTTCTAATACTTCATTACAATCGTATATCTCCATAGATGTTCCACTGATCTATTCTATCCTTCTTTAGACGACACCTGGCATCCAGCATAACTATACTGCAAAAATAAAAAGCAAAATGGGGAATAATAGTCTACTATCCTATTGGGAATACCTAATGTATCCCCATTAGCTGCTTAAAAATTATCACTAATGATTATTATTATAACAATAATAATTTGTATTATTATAATGGATTAAATCGGTGTAAGCTTCACTAAGGCATCGTCGGCTCACCTTCTCGTCTGGGAAGTTTGGTGTGAAGATGACTTAGAATGCGCTTCTCGCTCCTCGGACTGTGTGTGTTCACTCCTGCCTCACTCTCGCCCCCTTGCTCCATATACCCTGTACCATCCTTCACTCCGCGACTATTACTCTCCCTAATGTGCGCAGTGACCATAGTTTCTGGCCCCGTGGATCCGAAGGTCGATGCTGGTGAATGTTGGGGTTTCGGTGCGCGAGTTTGGTGCGTCGGGTAGAGGCGGTCAACTTGGCAGGGGTCGAAGTGCTGGTAGTGGCAGTAGAGACGGCAAATGAACCCCATGGCGCCAAGGTCGGATCTGGATATGTTGTGGTACAGTCGTAATATCCACCCTGGAAGATATTATGTTACTGCAGTTATCAAACTTCATAAATTATTAATATTATAGCATTATTTCTGCTTCCTTAAGGATTTAGTATCCGGAATCTATAACAGTTAAGGTTTTATCCATAAAACGAGAATAGGATGATCCTGTCAAAGGTGCGCTCGACCCATAAGTGTTATTGCAGGATATGTGAGACCTCGATAAACCTAACAGGCTCCCGATAATGCTTTACCAGTAAACTTCTTAAACGACAGGATATCTGTGCAAGTTTGTCAAGCAACCTGATCTTACACCAAGTCCATTCCATCTAGCTGTCGACCCCAAAGACACATTCATAAATTTTAAAATGCTGTTCATTCAAAATACGAATTTTCTCAAATATAAAAAAGTTATATATTAGCATATTGTGAATATTTAGGCATTGGTTAGGTTAGGTGTTTAGGTTCTGTTGGCGATTATTTGTATGTATAGTACGTGGGTGAAACATCTACAGCGTTGTGGTCCGAAGAGAAGTTGTCAGTGAAGCACTTGTTCCAGAAGTGTTCGAATGTCATCAGTGTGAGTCGTGTGTAAACCCTTTTTCGTTCACAAACGGGGTTTGGCGGGTGCATGGAATGGACTGTGGTCTTTGTTTATGAGAATGGGCTGTGTCAAGGGGGTCCCTGTGTCCGGGGCTTTGCAAAGTGGGCCAAACTGTGTCCGGAAGCTGCCAAATGGTCCCTAGCTGTGTCCGGTTTTGTCAAGGGGTCCCTAGCTGTGTTCGGGTCTTGTCATGGGGTCCCTAGCTGTGTCTGGAGTTTGTTGAGAGTGGTCCACAGCTCTGCCCGTGGCTCAGCTTTTGTTTTCCATTGGTGGACACATGACCATACAATTATGTCTGCAAACAATTATGGATTGGTGCCCTGTTAATCCTCCCTTTTCAGGGCATGATCCAATACGAAATCGCGAGGTGCGTGGCAATGTGCTACCACTGCGTCCAGACACCTACTCTCGGTATATAAGTACTAAGAGCTTACTTTTGTCCACACAGCTCCGCTCCTGTGCCAGGTAAATCCACTACAGGCTCACCATAGCCCGTGCTACTTGGAACTTTTTTGTTCCGAGTAGCTGAATCTGAAAACAACAACTACTTTTGTCTTGGGGTATGTTCAGGACTAAAGTATACTTGCTGGTTGATCAGTAATTAAGCTGTTATTGTGGCAAAAAACCCTCTCGCAGCTGATAAGCCTTAATCACGGCAGATAGGCCGTAATTAAGCCATCACCAAACTAACCTAGAGGCAGAACCTATATCACAGGATGAGCGACGCTGACCAATACTGTTCCTATGCCGGCATGTTCATTCACATGATGTGAAGCTTCCCAATAATGTTCCTATGGCGGTGTGTTTGCTCACAGGATGAGTGGCCGTACCAATACTGTCCCTATTGCGGCATGTTAATTCACAGATTGAGTGACGATTCCCAATACTGTTCTTATCAAGATATGTTGACTCACATGATGAGTGACGCTGCTCAAAACTGTATCTATAGCAGTATGGTCCCATACACGATGAGTGACGCTACTAAAAATTGCCTCTATGGCTGTTAATTATTAGGCCCTATCAGTCGCAGGAGGTTTATTAAGACCAGCACAATATTTTATTGATCAACCATGTATGATCGCAAGTATGCTCTAGTCCAATAGTACAGAATAAAATTCTGTGTATATACAGTGGGAACCGGAGACGTACACCTCCTAAGTGTCTACGTCGCTTGCAAGGCTAAATATGAGCACGAGGCTACAATGAACAGTAATACAAAAATCTCGTGAAAATTTAACTATATGCAGCCGACATTTTATATCTTTCCATTATTTTGTCTGCATTTATATAGTACACTGCCTGTAGACAGATGGCGCGGATATATGGCTACCACAGTAGACGGATACTTCTATAGGCAAGCTAAATTTTAAATTCATATCTGCCCGCGGGGCTCTACAAGCGCATTATATCGAGCTAAACCAACATTCAAATTAGTACAGTACAGTAATTGCAATTGTATTAGCATTTTCATGGACAATTATACTTGACTAATTTTTTTTTACTAGGCTACATTCGCACCCACATTGTACTGTATCTGTGCCTCATGACCTGTGAAGTACTGTACTGTACTGTTATCCTCGTCACACTACACGAACATGTAAATGTGATGACCTACTTCACACTATTCCCGACCGTCCAAGTGACTGGGTACTGTTCCTTTTCTCCGTCCTATCCTAAATCCTTATCTTCATATCCCTTCCACGTGCTATATAGTCGTAATAGCTTAATACTATCTCCCTGATAATTACCTATTTAAACGATATTTGGTACATGTTAATATCAAATTTACTACAATACTTTGTAATTTTACCTTCTAAATTAGCAAAATGTTAGTTTTATTTAACTTGTTCAAATTATGAAAGAAAAAATCATATTAACATAACGTTCATTTATGCCACGTGGATAATATAAGCATTTAATATAACGTCCCATCATCCAATATATGTACATTGCAAAAACTCAAGAACTCCATTATAATGTTTACCACAAATTTGTAGCAGAATTAAAATTTTGATAAAGCGAACTCTGTACTAATTTTATTTCTTATACTATTCAACTAATTTAATTAATGAGAGCTATTGAAGAATCTAACTTCCAGATAAATGTAAAAAAAAAGGTACCTGTATAGTGCTTGTCGACGTCTTTAATTCTGTCTTCGATTGCAGAGTAATACTGTCTGTAGACGCCCTTGTGGTTCATATCGCCGTAGATGGTATACGACACGACCTTCTGTCCCGCTCCTCTGCTGGTGGACCAGTCGCTGCAGAGTGACTGCTCGCTGGACCCTGAGACAGGTGGCCCGGACCTTGGACAGCCGCAGTCATATTCGTCGTAGTTGATCATTTGCCAAGGATAAGCGTCTCTGGTATGCGACCGGCTGCTCCTGCTGGCGGAGGTGACGAAGCAGAAGGCCAGCACAGCAACGGAGCACACGAGGTAGAACAAAGGACCTTTACGTTTCCGCAGCGCCGCCAGCATGTTGGTCGCCCGGTGCGCATGCTGTCTGCCAGCACACTGCAAGGCCCAAGACTTGAGAGGGAGATCACCACGGGCGAGAGCCTCGCATCGCTGACTACCACACTTCTCACCTCTCACGTAGTGAACTTCGGATTGTCACAGCTCACTGAGCTAAGTTTCCATTTCCTATTTGTGCGAGATTATTTTGCATAATCTATAACAATAACAGCTATATACTATTTGATAATACCAACCAATTTTATTCAGCTGATCGGGGGGAGATCCGAGTGGAGGGTTTGTGCCACACTGTATTTCATCTCTACCTCAGTTGGTTAATCCTCACAGCCTCGTCAAAATATTTTAAAACTGAAGTAGACCAGACGTTGTTATAAGAGTGAACTCGTCTGTGGGGCCACCCTGGTTGTAATATATACCAAACACGTGCCCACCGCTCCACTTACCCAGCTATCGTTCTGTAAGATACAAGAATGTTAGCGATAAATTAAAGCCGATAATATAATTAAACCAAGAAATACAGTACTATCAAAAGCTGGCACTAACCTGAGGATAACTACATACCAAATATAGCCTCAAAACCCAAGTTGACTCGAAAACGAAAACATGCATAAATAAACATGTTCCTAAGGTGGTACTGTACACAGTTATTTGGCCATCAATATTTTTACAATTCAGAAGACTGCGTGTTTGATTCCGTAACCATTACTTGCAGAAATGCGTTTTAAACTCGCTGATTAAGATTTATAGGAAACTCGTGGCTTATCGCGGTCTTTCCCCTGAGCGAGGCTACGCCCACAGGTCACCCATCCAGCTACTGGCCACCCTCACCGATGGCCATAACAGCCCCAAGTAAGTAAGTAATTATCAAAAGGCGGCACCAAACCAGGAAACAACAGCCCCAAGCCATTGAACGGCTGTTCGTTAATATTTTCGCGCAACGTTCTCTTGTTACCACAATGACTTCGCTTATCCACTAGTAAACAGGATTATTGAACACTAGCCATGGCGCCTCACATATGTTAGTCACTATATGTAACGGTAATTTCTTGTCGTTATATAACGGAAATTTATAGTCTTCTATATAATATAATTTTGTAGTCACTGTATATCGGTGGTTTGCAGTCACTATAACGGTACTTTGTACTCATTGTATAGTTATTGTAATTATTGTTAATTATATTTACCATGGTGGACAGCAGTAACACACTTGAGCATTATGCAATAATAAATAACAATTCGTCCTTCGTTCTGGTAGAGGAAAGTCTACTTGGAAGGATTCAATTTACATGAGATTAAGATTAGGATACAAATATATCTGGCAATACTGTGTTGATGTCAATGAAAAAGATGGAGTGTAAATTATGTAGTATGCCGCACGCCCACACCTTAGAACATTATGTATTAGCATGTCAACTTATTGATAACTAAAGAAATAAGGAAATAAGTAGTGTACCACATCAAATTGTTTGGATGTGTGATAATGGTATGATAGACAGTATACTTAGGAGCTACAAGCACTTTGCCCCAAGAGTGTAACACTTATATGCTGTGTTTACTATATTAACCTGCAATGTTAATGGGATTCTTGTACTGCGATTTGTGAATTTGTACGCGCTGGATTTGTGTGCCCCTTGAGGGACTTGAAGTGGGGGGGGGGGTAGAAATAGCCTACGCTGCTCTATCCCTTTGAGATGTATTTTACTGTCTCAAACGTAATTAAACTTGTATTTACCATAAAACGGTACTCTGTATTCAGCTATACATCGCCGTTAACCACACGCACAGCTCCGAGCGATTTATAAGGCAAGAACATCAGATAAAAAATAATTCCCCGTACTGTACACCTCCCCAAAGCCCCACAGCCAAGTACAACAAAAAATATCTAGAATGGAGCGATTCACAGCGACGCGCCGACGGTGAAACTGGCATCTTGTCGTTAAAAGTAAAAATGGACTTTACAGCACCAATGTTTACCATGTCAGGTGTCCAGTAGCTTTAAGGCGTGTGATGCTCTGTTGGCTACCTCTCCCAAGCCTCGAGAAATTCCACATTCGCTGACTGTGATGATAAAGGAAGTTATCGGGAGACAGAGCTTAGCCAGTACATCTTCACAGCACATTGAAGGAATGTGAGGCTAGGCCACGAGCTGGGACACGAAGATGGAGTAAAGGAAGCGCAGCCACATTTGAAGTGTTAGATTCTATACAGATATGTGAAGTTAAATATTATAGATAATAAATGCAATAATAAAGTGTCTGTGATGCCTCCGACCACACGCTCCTCTCGTGACTGTGCCACTTAGTCACGCAACTATATACAGTACACGGAAGACAGACACGGTATACGCCTCTCCTTCACCGGCGTATAACAGGCCCCAGGAGTCAACCAGGTCACACAGGCCTCACCTATTTTCAGGCCACGACTCTTACGCTCTGTATAATTCTGAGGCAGAGTTTGGCGACAATAGTTAATTAGTTACACCTACAGAATAACTGTTTCTCTTTTTTCCACTTCGATCTTAATCCTGTAATTGTCTTTTCTGTGTGAGATATATAATGTGTGTGTACAATTATTAATACATTTTATTTGTGGTGCTGGTGAGTGTGAATTTGTCTCCCAGATACGCCAAGTAGATGGACTGTTATTCCCACGCTATTGTGGTTTGTAATTCACCGTACGAATGTATGCACGAACGCACACTTGGACCATCTGGGAGTGATCTCTGCCCTGTAAAATACGAAACGATCGCTGAAGAACGACAACGGTACGTACATAAGAATATATGAAACTGTAGAAATCCTATTGGTCCAGGCCAAGCAGCTCCTATATCCAACCAACACTCGCATTTGTATAATCTACGCTTGACATAATTCAGCGGCCCGACATCTTAGGTTTCCTGGCTGTGTGTTCCATAAATCAACAACCGTATTTACAAATCGATACTTGTATAAGTTTATTTTCAATCTAAATAATTTAAATTTGTGTTTTTCATGTTGTATTAATATCCTCCTTGCTATTTCTTTTCATCCATTTGCAGTTCAGTAGTCAGCGCAATCGACTCACACCCGAATAGTCCCGAGTTCGATTCCCGGACAGGACGAGACGTTTGGGTTCATTTCCTTAGACCTGATGCCTCTGTTTACCTAATAGAAAATTGGTTCCCGCTACCAGGAAGTTGGGCAACTGTTGTGGTGTACACCCTGAGCAGCATCAGTGGTTGTCCTCATACACGAGTACATCAATAAGCCTGACTTTCTCTTCCCAACAATGGGGAACCAGTTTTCAATCATGTCAATTTCCAAGGAGGGGTATAAATTAATGTTTGTAATCTCATTATGATGAGGTCATTAGTGCAGGTGATGAACTTTTTCATGGTTCTGTGTACGCTGTCAAGAGTTTAATGTCCATTCCATAACACCGAGACGGGAAACGGAGACTGCATGCTCTAAATTGGGCCCTAACAAGGCAAGGTAACGCTGAATATCATTAGCTATCTTAATAATAACACTTCTTATTGCGTATCTTAGTATCCTATTTACCATATTTCTAACATTTATTCACCGATTTCGCGGCTAAAGATTCCGATCAGAAAATAACCCAAGCGTATTAGAAAATAACCCAAGAAAATAACGCATGAAAATAAACGTAAGTGACGGCGTTTCGTTCCACCCTTGACACTTGTTAAGTCGAAACTGAGCAAAAGTGTTGTTCTCTGCGTCTAATCTTTCTGGTACAAAACATCACGGCAGTTTGCCATGAACCACAGACGGTACATTATTTCACGAATTCTTTCAGTCATAAGACTGCTTTGGAATTGACAACATTTATCAGCATATCTAATTCCTTCTAGTACCAGCTTCACCCGACGCTCTTCTCTATGGGGTGTTACTGGCCAGCACATTTGCATCAGAATTAGCATCACTTTTACAATGTCTCTGCTCTTTGCTGCTCATTATTTCAGTTTTTACTCCTTTATTCTTGCCAAACTTTGTAATGTTTTTGCCTGCATCACCATTACCTGCAGCGTAGTGCTATGTGTTCATTCTTAGGAATGTCTAAAGAAGGTTGGCAAATGGCCAGATATGGAGAGAGAGAGAGAGAGAGAGAGAGAAGAGAGAGAGAGAGAGAGAGAGAGAGAGAGAGAGAGAGAGAGAGAGAGAGAGAGAGAGAGAGAGAGAGAGAGAGAGAGAGAGAGAGAGAGAGAGAGAGAGAGAGAGAGAGAGAGAGAGAGAGAGAGAGAGAGAGAGAGAGAGAAGGGGGGGGGGCGTGGGGAAGGAGGACGCAGAGAGCGGGGACACCTCCCCCCCTCCCAGCTCAGACAGAGGGAGGGGGGAAAGGAGGCGGAAAATGTAGAAACAACGGTACAGAGCGAAAGAGGTGACAGGGGGGGGGGGGTTTCTCTTGCGAGACAAAAGGAGAGGAAACAGTGCATTATAATGAGGTGAATGATGAGGGAGTGATGGCGGTGAATGATGAGGGAGTGATGGCGGTGAATGATGAGGGAGTGATGGCGGTGAATGATGAGGGAGTGATGGCGGTGAATGATGAGGGAGTGATGGCGGTGAATGATGAGGGAGTGATGGCGGTGAATGATGAGGGAGTGATGGCGGTGAATGATGAGGGAGTGATGGCGGTGAATGATGAGGGAGTGATGGCGGTGAATGATGAGGGAGTGATGGCGGTGAATGATGAGGGAGTGATGGCGGTGAATGATGAGGGAGTGATGGCGGTGAATGATGAGGGAGTGATGGCGGTGAATGATGAGGGAGTGATGGCGGTGAATGATGAGGGAGTGATGGCGGTGAATGATGGAACCCATCCGGATATACTTCAAAATACCAGAACACAGAGGTTTGCGGATCTGCACAAATCGAAGGTACCAAACCCACTAAATTTGTCTTCCTGTGGTATGGCTGGACGAATTCCACATTCACACAGATGAGGACCTCCTCCCAGGGAGGGACTGGAGACACGGCAAGACCCGGCCAGGGTCCAGAACAGGAACGGAACCCTGAGAACACTTTCCCGGGGCTCTGGTTTTGAAAGGCAGCTGGCGGGGTCTAGTTCGTCCCACCAGCGGGCCTCGTACCGTAGGCGGGCAAGTGGATGGAAAGCAGGGAGGCGTGAGAGCCTCTGGAACCAGCGGCACATGAGGAGAAGACTCAAATTTCAGGCGCAAGTCTGCGATTCAGCATGGAGGTAGAGCCCCCAGCACGAATAGAAGGACACCGTTTTGGACTGGACCAGGCAGCGACAGGCCAAAGCTGCAGAGCCATATACCTAGCATGCATAAAGAATGCAGAGCTTATTAGAGGGCGAAATTGGGGCTCCCGTGATGCAACCCCCTCCCCCCCCCCCGCCACACCAGAGACGCCCAATTAATGCTCTCCACGCTGCGAAGGGCATCCTCATTGCCTTGCACTTGTTGTGGTTGAACTCTACACAACGATTTTAA